GGGGGAAAGGTAATAAGGGAGAGGAAACACATGAGAAACTGAAAAAATGGAAATAAAGTGTTTGTAAATGGGGAGGGGAGGAGGGGGTAAAGGGAGGGCAGGGACAAGGGGAAAAAATGAGAATCAAGACCTATTATGTAAAGGTACAGGATCCCAGTGATAAATGTAACTGTATTGTATACCTAGATTGTACCAATAAACTCAATAAAAAGAAAAAAAAAAAGAAACTAAAACAAGGACACATTAAATGTTGGTAAGGATACGGAGGAACTGGAACCTTTGTGCACCACTGGTGAGAATATAAAATGATGCAGCCACTGTGGAAAGTAATATGGTGGTCTTGGATAAATTAAATGCAATCACTACATGATCCAACAATTCTACCTCTGAGTGGACACAAAAGTGAAAGCATGGCCTCAGACAGACGTTTATTGCTCATATTCATGGCAACATTGTGCACATCAACTAAAAGGTGGCAGCAACTGAAGTGTTCATCCACAAAAGAATGAATAAATAAAAAGTGGTCTATACACATAAAGGACTGTTACTTAGAAGAAAAGAAAAAGAAAGAAAGAAAATCCTGTGCTTTGCTATAATGCAGATGAACCTTGAAACATGAAGCTAATTGAAATAAACCAAACACAGAAAGATAAATCGTGTATAATTCCACTTGTATTTGATACTTTTGGGAGACAGAAAATAGCAACTTGGGAGCCAGGTGTGGTGGTGCATGCCTGTAACTCCAGCACTCTGGGAGGCTGGAGCAGGAGGATCCCAAATTTGGGCCCAGCCTTCACAATTTAGCAGTTTAGTGACACCTTGCCTCAAAATTTAGAAAGGGCCAGGGATTAAGCTCAGTGTAAAGGCCCTAGGTTCAACCTCTAGTAGTGGGGTACAAAAGACAAAGAAGAGGAAAGATTTTGACCTAGGTGTGATGGTACACACCTGTAGTTCCAGCAGTTCAGGAAGCCGAGGGGGAAGGATCACTGAGCACACAAGTCTGAGACCAGGGTGGGCAACATACCCAGACCTTGTCTCAAAAAAAGCGTAGGGAGGGTCAGGGATGTAGCTCAGTGGCACAGCACCTGCCTGGCAAGCACAAGATCCTGAGTTCAAGTCCCAGTACAAAGAAAAAAAAAAAAGAAAATCAGAATCTGGAGAGTAAGCTGAGGAACTAACAAGCCCAGCGTTGAGGGCCAGCACCTCAGGGTTGGTGGGGGATATGGAAGAATGCGGATGGACTGTGGAGGTGGGGTGGAGAGGAGTCACAGCCACAGTGACGGCGGCGGGTAAGGGAGAGGAAAGATCAGAGGTGAGGTCTAAGGACCAGGCTTGGGTGACCATGCAGATGCAGAGTCTATTTCCGGGGGAGGAGAATGAAGCTGCTTTTGTCTGGGCACTGCCACATGGGGCCCACAGCGCATCTCAAAATTATTTGCTGAAGAGCTGGCTATCCGTCTATCCCTGAGTTCCTGCCTCTGCTGGGTTCTGGGCTGGGTGGGGGGTGTCTGTAAGTCATATCCAAAGCTGAATCCGTTAGTTCAAAGCTGCAGCCCTAAGAAACCATCTCTCCCGGGTTATTCAATAAGATCTGAGGCATCTGTCATATTGAGGAGGCCCAAGAGAAGCGGAAGGCTCAGAAGGAAGAGCACATCTCCGAAGGCGGTGGATGGAGCCCGCGTCTCCGGAGGGGCACTCGGCCTCCCCGTGTCCTACCCCACCGAGTCACCTCTGTCTGACCCCGTACTACCTTTCAGGAAGGACAAGTCTCGCTCCGGTTCAGATCGGACCAGTCTTCCCTCCATGAATTTGCTTCCAAAGCGGGCGGTGGGGATGTAGGCCCCAAGTGCAGGGTAGCCAGCATGATGCAGTGTAAACTCAAACCAGGTGTCTGCGGAGGCACAAAGAAATGCGTGAGGCCCGCAGCACACAGCCTGCAGAGCAGCAGGTCCTCGGGGTGGGGATCCGTGGGACGGGGATGACGACCGGAATGCTGGAACGGTATAGACAGACTGCGTTCCCAGAAACAGCGTGGAGATCTCAGCCCTGAATTCCGAGAATCGTTATTCAGCTATGAGCAGTGCATAACTTCCAAAACATTCCGTTCCCCATATTCCTCCCAAATTGATTCCTTGATCCACCTTTCTCCTCCATCTCACTGTAGATGCAACTCCACAGGGTGTGGGGGTGCAGTGGGGTCTGGGCACACAGCGGCGCAGAAAGCTACCTGTGGGTGCAGGAATATTTCAAGGAAGGAAATCCCACGATCAGGTTTTTGATCTGGAAACTTTCATCAGACAGCCAAGGAAAGAGGCAACAGCTTGAAATGGGAAAGTCAGTGGGGAAGGGATTGCAAGAATCCTCCAAGCCGGGCACGATGGCACAGACCTGTGATCCCAGGGCTCTGAGAGATCAAGGCAGGATTGCAAGTTCAAGCGCAGGCTGGGGGACTTAGGTAGACCTTGTCTCAAAAAATAAAAAAGGCCAGGATGTGACTCAGCACAAAGACCCTGCATTCAAGCCCCAGTACCACACACACGCGCGTATGCACGCATGCGTGGGCGCGCACACACCCACAAATGCACACACACGCGCACACAAAGAGCTCTCCAAAGAGACTATGATAGTCAGTCCAAGATGAATCCGGTTTACAAGACCGTGGATTACAGGGAGGACAGGTGACGGAGAGGTCGTGGGAAGGGAGTCAGGACTGGGGGTGCAGGTATGGACGGTAATATTTCACTTCTATCCATGCTAGTGGAGAAATGGCACAAGGGTCCATATGGGAAAGGAGATGAGGCATCCACCCTGGAGACTTCTGAGCCCTAAAATACCAGAACCTGTCCAAGCCCCTGGACCATGGCCGACAGAGAGTGAGAAATCGGGGCGTATTCGTTGAACAATCAAATGCATTTCATGCTCATGAAAATGTGTCAAGACGTCTCAATCTCAGGAGAGATACTGGGGATCAAAAGACAAATCTGGATGTCAAAACAGGAAATCAGAAGGAAGACTACTGAAAACGAAGTCAGTGAGTGGTGCGGAAGATATGGACCCAAGTACGCTGTGTGCATTTGTCACAATTTCACAGTAAAACTCGTTATCCTGTATAATTAGGATACACCAATTTAAAAAGAAAAAGTAGAAGACCATCCTTTACTATAACTTTCCGGATTCACATAAAGAAAGTCTGTGCCACTCCACGACCTCTGGGGTCTCCCTTTCCTCTTCCATGGGCTGAACAACCCTCTTCTAGGACCTTTCCTCTCCCTGGGGTCCCCCCCCGGGAAGGTCAGGGTAACAGCCTCACACTTCACTCGATGCCTTCCCGTTCCTTGCTGCCACCCCTCCCTCCCAATGTGTGCTTACTCTGGGCTTTGTCCTTTTTGTGGTCACGGTGCAGGTCACCATCAATGGCCGCGAATATCGGGTAGGGCAGGGTCCCTTCCTCCACGTGCTTCGTCATGCCGGACAAGCAAAAGTCCTGCAGCTTCGGAGAGAAGGTGCAATGAACGGCTTCCAAAGTGAGCGTCCCGTGTGTCCCTTTCCTCAATACCCTGGGAAGCGTCAGCTGCATCCTTTCTGTGCACTTCTGTCTCCCACCTGTACCTCAGGTGTGGTCAAAAGTGTGGGCTCTGAAGCTCGTCTGCCCTGTGTGATCTCCCACATCTACCTTGTACTCACTGGATGATCGTGGACAATTTCTTTCCTCTCTTTCTTTCTCAGTTCCTCCTTGTGCATAGCACGGACTATCACAAGATAATGTCATTCCTATGTTTCCCAGCGGAGGGCACGGACCCTCAGAAAAGTAAGGGATTTACCCAAGGTCACCAGCTAAAATGGCAGCAAGGCGACCTAAACTCAGGATTTCTCGCTGCAAAGGTTAGGGGTTTAACCATTTTACAACAGGTGAACAAGGCTGTCTCGAGGTATTGCTGTCCTGGAGCTACCTCCAAAACTGCCTTGGGGTAATCTTTTATGGCATAAAAGCAAAGTTTATCGCTAGGCATTGGAAACATAATTTTGGAAAGAGAAACCCTACCTCGAAACCCTGTGGAACATCACATACAGCGGAAGCAATGAAACAGGGTGGAAGGAGGGATTTACCCAATGGATGAATCTCAAATGAGCCCTCCAAATATTCCCTATGTTGTATAAATCTGTGTGAACAACAGGCACCAAGAGGAGAGGAATGCAGGGCTTGTGGTCGAAACTTCTAAAACTCACACTGGGTTAAGAATATTCTACCTGTTGCCGGGCGCAGTGGCACATGCCTGTAATCCCAGCACTCAGGAGGCTGAGGCAGGAGGATCGCTGTGAGTTCAAGGCCAGCCTGAGCTCCATAGTGAGTTCGAGGCCAGCCTGCACTGCATAGTGGCACCCTGTCCCAACAAAACAAAACAAAACTACATTCTACCTGCTAACATATTTCAAAAGGTACAATACCATACTGCTAACTATGGAGACAGTGCTGTAGAGCAGGTCTCTAGTACCTATTCATCACGCATAGCGGAAACTCTATGTATTGAGTGAAATGAGCAGAGACAGTTTGAGGGGATAGATCTCACATGAAGTGCTCTTACCACCCACCTACACAAACACACACGCGCGCTCTAACACAAAAGAGCAGGGAGAGAGAGAATATTCCACCTCCACGTTCATCCTCCACGTTCTACCACCCACAGGTACCTGGTTCACACTGTCATTTCAAAACAACACCTGTTCCCCTAGGCCACAGTCTGGTAGAAACCCTATCATCGTGGATCATTTCACTTTTAGGACAACTGTTGAACCCAAAGCAAGAATTAAAAATAGAAGCAGTCACTGGGAGAAGAAGTCCTCTCAGGTTTCCATCCTAACCCTGCCACGCAGCCCACGCAGAGGTCGCCCTGATGGTCACAGATGCTTGGACCTGGGTGGCCTCTGCCCTTCCTGAACTGAGCAGACCAGGTGATGCTTTCAGGTAATTTGGGGCTGGATCCCAGGGTCAGTTGGTCAGAGGCTCGGGGGATAGGGGGGACGACAAGGATGCTCTGGGGCTGGGGAAAGCATTTTCCACTAAGCACCTAGGCCTGTAATCCCAGTACTGAGAGTTTGAGGTAAGAGGATCACAAGTTCAAGCCCAACTTGGGCAACCTAGCAATTTCAGAAGACCCAGTAGCAAAATAAAAATCAACGAATAAAAAGGGCTAGGGGTGTAGCTCAGGGTGAAGACTCTGGATTCAATTCCCAGTATCACAAAAGAGCCAGGTGAGAGGGGTGGGAGCGAATCAGAAGGAAGAGGAAGAGGAGAAGGCGAAGAGGAGGCAGGTAGGAGAACAGAGAAGGGCGGAAAAGGGAGAGAGGAGGGGAAGTGCGGAGGGACGTGGATCCCAGAATTAAAGCTGGACGCGGTGGTGCACACCAGTCGGGAGGCTGAGGCAAGGAGGGTTGTGAGTTCAAGGCCAGCGTGGCCAACATAAAGAGTTAGCCTGGACTTGATACAGCAGGATGTCGTCTCAAAGAAGAAAAAATCCACATCAAGAAATAAAGGCAAGATGGGGACAAGTGCTGGCTTGGAGAACCCTTGCATCTTCCCAGAAAGTCAGGTTACTTTATGCGTTTGCCTAAGCCAATCAGAACCTGACCCTCTTACACGCACCCCAAGAAACCCTGATTAATTTTAGTTCTGAGGAGAGCTCTAAGTGCCCGGATGTGGACTTCGAGTTGAAAGACCTGAAAATCTTAAACTGGAAGTGTGGTGGTGAATGCCTGTAATCCCAGCATTTAGAAGGCAGGAGGATCACTGGGAAACTTGGGCCACAGAGCGAGTTCGAGGCCAGCCCGAACTGGTGAGACCCTGTCTCAAAAACGAAAAGAAAATATTGAGGCTTTATAGTGGAGATGCTGGTCCAGAGCTCTGGGAACTTCCAACCTAGAGCCTTGGGCCCCGGCTCAGGGTGACTTACTTCCCTGGTTTGCTTAGAGACAACCATGTAGGCCCAAAAGTCCGTCAGAGAGTAGTTCTCCAACCCCCCTGCCTCGATGGTTTTCTCTAGGCTGTGCTTCGCATCCCACTCCTTCTGGTTAAATCGGTGCTTTAGCTCGGCCTCAATTTCTTCTGTGTTCCCGTCCTTGGTGTAGAAGGAAGACAGAGCCCTGAAGAAAGAGACAGAAATGGGGATGAGTGGAGGACTGGACGCTCAGACAGTGGAGGCCGGAGGGTGGGGACGTGGGGTACATCGCCTCCAACCCCAGACGCCTCACAGACAGGGGAAAGGGATAATCAATTTACTGCAAGTAAGACTATGCATGACAAAACTCCAGGGAGGCATCCAATGCCCTCTGGGGCAATTCTCCCATTTTACAGGCAGGAAAGGAGAGCAAGATAGAATGACTCCTGAAAGCTAAATAATATTTTTCCAGACTAACACGCGTGGAGGGTTCACATGCCTCAAGCGTTGTCTGTAGTCTTTTCTAGTTATTAACTTACATCATTTTCACAACCAACCAAAACAGGAATGATAAGTTATTATCAATTTACAGAGGAAGCCGTTGAGACCAAGAGAGGGTAAGCAACTTCCCCAAGATTGCACAGGGAACACCAAGTATTAGTAAACCTAAGCATGACCAAGACCACCAGAGCAGACAAAAATGAAGCAACAAACGAGGTTTCATTTCCCTGCCTTGGTGCAGATGAATCAAGGGCAACGAGACTACTGACCCCAGGGGCTTGGGCAAAGGAAATTTTATAGGGGAGTTTGGGGAGGGGAGGGGTAGCGCCAAGAGGAGTGGACATTTTTGCCTTGGAGTGGAGGAAGTCTTCTGTTCTGGGGTGAAGTCTGCTGGTCTCCGGGGGTATCTGGACCCACAGGTGTTGCTGCATGGGGCTGGGGCGGGTTGTTTATCTCAAACCTAGGCCTTGTCTTCCTGTTACCTTTTGCACCTTGCAGGATGTGTAACAGTATTGCCTGGGAAGAATTTTCCCTCCTGCCTGGGTGGAGGTCTGACATCAATATAAACTGCACTTTTGTCTCTAGATTATCTGCCCTCTTCACCCTTTATTTACTGAAGCGTGCTTGGGTACTGCGGATCTCTACACTAAGCTATATCCCTGCCCCTTTTAATTGTTTATTGTGAGACAGGGTCTCCCTAAACTGCCCCAGGCTGAGCTCAAATTTGAGATCCTTCTGCCTCGGTGTCCCAAAGAGCTTGGATTACAGGCATGCGCCGCTGTGCCCAGTGAAAATCTTTTTTCCAAATGCATGCTCACTGTCCAAGGAGACTTCGGCTTCCAAATGAAATGTGCTGAGAGTACGTCTGACAACAGGAATGTCAAATATCTCATTAATAATTTTGATATTGGGCCGGGGATTTAGCTCAGCGGTTCGGTGGCCTGCCTTGCAAGCGCGAGGACCCGAGTTCAATCCCCGGTACCAAAAAAAAAAAAACTTTTTTTCGATATTGCTTTTGTACCAAATGTTAATGTTTCAGATATGTTGGGTTTAAAAAGAAATATACCATGATGATTAGTGTCGTGGTTTCTTTTTACTTTTTCACGAAGGCTACCTGAAAATTCAAACTGACAGATGTGATTCATATATTTCCACTGGACAGCTCTGGTCCGGATGCTTCGCGTGTGTTGCGTTGTTTAGTAGAACAGCCCCATGAGGTCTGCGCTGTCACCCTCTTTGACAGCTAAGGAGACCAAGGGTCCAGGATTGGAACCAAGCCGCTGGAATACAGGCCTGGCTTCCCACCCACAGGCTGCAGCGGGATGGACCTCCAAGGAGCAACGAGGAAAGAAGCCTTGTGCTGCAGAGTTCAGCAGCCCCTCTAGTTGGGAACAGGGCAGGCCTGCAAACCCTGAAGCCCTGTCACTCCGCGTGATAAGCTCCGAGGGCACACAGGAGGCCTCCGTGTGACCCCGCAGGACTTGCCTCACTCCCACGCTCTGCAGCGCTGCTGCTCGTGCCTTTAACCTCACCAGCTTCATCTTCCGCACCTAGCTCAAGGCCCAGGACAAACTTATCCCCGCACAGACTGACTAGGAGAGAGCACCCTGGGCTTGGAAGTCCGTGCCCAGGCACGAATGCGTCCTACTGACCGTGCGGGCCTGACGTGTGAGAAAGTCCTACACAGACTTAATGTAGTTCTCTGTCATAAAGCCTATAAAGTCACAGGAAGTCGCAGTCTGTGCATCTAAGTGTAAAAAACGGTACCTGAACATGCAAAGGTCCTTTAATGTCAGCAAATAAATATTATATTTGTCCCAGGCCTTCTGTAGTAGAAGGGAGACATTTGGTGCTCGTTCCTGGCACAGAATGCCTAAAACCTTGGAATTCCTGATGACGAGGGTGGCGGAAACACCTTCTCTTCTGAAATGACATTTGGTGGCAGAGGGGCCTCAGATCACTTTGGGATGAGCACCAGTAACCAGAAAGACCAAATCACAGCTGAAGCTTAGAACTCGCAACCCCTCCAACCTCTGCGGAAGGGGAGGTGAGAGGCGCTAGGGGTTGGGCTCAACCCTCAGTGGCCAGTGATGCTGTCAACCGTGTATCGATTACGAAGCCTCCAGAGAAAGCCCTGAACAGCAGGCTCAGACAGCACCTGTGCTGGGAGCTCACTAAGATGCGGAGCGGGGGGTGTGCCCAAGAAGAGCTGGGTGATCTTAATATCAAAATGTGCTTCTAAGTTTTACAAGCTGTTTAAGAAATTATCAAACTAAAGAAGTCATGGGAATCCCCAATTTGCGTTCAGTCTATCCAAGAGCTTGCCAGTGTTGTCTGGGTGGAGCTGGTCTTGGAGAACGCAGGATGGGACGCTTGCCCCAGGCGGACATTGTCAGGAAGACATTACACTGCGGGAAATCCCGCGGCGGCGTCAGAGAACTGGACAAGTAGCTTCAAGAAAGACGGCAGATCTAGGTTCAGTGGCACACAACTGTAAGCCCAGCATCCCGAGAGGTTGGCACAGAGGAATCACAAGTTCAAATCCTACATGAGCAATTTAGCAAGACCCCTCCTCAACGCACAAAAGAAAATGAAAAGGAACAGCTGGGGATGTAACTCAGTGTGAGTTCAATCTCCAGCTCCGCCAGGAAAAAAGAAAAAGACAGCCGAGTACTGGTTACCAGGAGGCAGGGAGGTAGAGAGGTGGGAAGCCTGGGTCGGGGAGGAAGTTGATTCGCAGTTCCAAAGTCACAGCCAGATAGAAGGAATGGTTTCCGGCGACCCATCACACGGACAATGAGTATAGGTTCAGTATTGTACCGCACAATCCAAAATATGTAGGAGAGGAGATTTTGAATGTTCTTGTCACGAAGAAGTGATAAAAGTTTGAGATGGTGGATAATGTAAGTATCTGGAACGGTCCACACACAATGTATAAATGTGGTGAAATATCAAAAAATATCGCACTAGTGTACAATTAGATGTCACAATTGTCTTTTAACTTAAAAAGAAACCAGGCAGGGTGGTGCACACGCATAACCCCAGTATTCTGGGAGACTGAGGATCTAAAGTTTGAGTCCAGTCTGGGCAACTTAACAATTTAGCAAGACCTTTCTCAAAATAAAAAATAGAAAAGGGCTGGGGACGTAGCTCCGGTGCAAAGGATCAATCAATCCCGCGGGGAGGAAGGAAGGAAGAAATAAAGGAAGGAATGAATACAGGAAAAAGGAATAAAGGAAAAACATGGAAACAGTGTCTTTGAAAACAGGAGGGTAGAGGGAGTGAAGGGGGAAAAGTAAGAACCAAGATAAGTCATGTCAAGGTACAAGATCCTGGGGACGAATGTAACTGTTGTATACCTAAAACGTACCAATAAGCTTAATAAAGATAAAAACCTAAAGAAGAAATGAAGGAAGGGAAGGAGGAGGGAGGAAAGAAAAGAGCACGAATCTGATGTCGAGAGGACCGAAAGCTCTCATTGGGCTGCCAGAAACCACCCCCTACCCTGAAATGCACACTTACCAAGTGGACCCCGAGACCCCCGAGAGGTAGGTGACAGCATCCAGCAGGCCGAGTGTTTTCAGCTCACTCAGGACCCCGAGGCAGGCGATGTGGGCCCGCAGTCCCCCGCCGGAGCCCAGCACAGCAATGACCGGCGCCCGGGCCCTGGGGAAGTCCTGAGCCTGGGGACCAGGGGTCAGAACAAGACGGGTGTCTCAGCTCCACTCTGGCGGCGTAAGTCTCACCCTTCTACTTCCTCCCTTCCCTTCCACCCCTCCTGGCTGAGCTGGGCTCCGACAGAGGCACAGAAGATTCAACCCCAGGATCCCCAGGCTCCTCCTCGCTCACCTCATCGGCCTTGCCCAGCTTTTTCAGAGCCGTCAGCACCCGGCCGCTGCGTTTCTCTACAGCCTCTCGCTCTTCTTTCTGCAGCCCGGGGATGATGGAGACCTCACAGCTTCCCGGGACGAGAGAAAAACAATAAACTCCGGAAAATCGGTGAGAGAGAAAGAGGGAAGCAGTTTATCTGGAGGGGTGCTGTCCAAGAGGAAGGTAGGCACCAGCCCTGGGCGGAGCGATGAAGCGCTCAGGAGCCCTGATGGGACACACGCAGCAACGAAAATGTAAATAAAGAACATAACGCATCCGGGAGGGTGGCTTGCTGAAGTTACAACATTCTGCGTATCTGTAGGTTCTGTATCTGTGAATTTAGCCAAGCTCAGGTCAGACACAATGAGGAAGACATTGTGTCTGGCCTGAAGATGTACTGACTTGTCTTGGTGGTTACTCCTTGAACAATCTAGAGTGACAACTATTTACAACTATTAATGTTCTATAAAGTATTACAAGTAGACTAGAGATGATTTAAAGTACACAGGAGGATGTGGATACATTACATAAAATACGACACCCTTTTACCAAGTGGACTGGAACATCTGAGGAGTTTGCTAATCCATAAGGGGACTGAAACATCTGGTGGTCCTGGAACCAACCTCCTACGGCTACTAAGAGATGGCTTATACTACGAACGACACGGTACAGCCATTTAGCAGTTCCCCAAAATGTTAAACAGGATTACCACATAGCCCAGTAATTCCAGTCCTAGATGTGTAGTCAAAAGAATTGAAAGCAGTTGCTTACAAGCTTAGACACTAATATTCACAGCGGTGCCATTTGCTCAGCAAAACAGAAACAAGCCAGCACCATGGCCTGTGTCTGCAATGACAGCACTTTTGGAGACTGAGGCAGGGATATCACAAGTTCATAACACCAAGTCTTAAAATATAAAAGGGGTTGGAGATGTAAAGGTGTAAAGTCCAAGTGTTTAATCCCTAGTACTGGGGAGGGGAGTAGAAACAACTCCGATGTCTATCAAGTAATGAACAGATAAAATATGCACTATCTGTACAGTTAAATGTCAGCTGTGAAAAGGTTCTGATGCATTCGATGAATCTTGAAAACACTGTGCTAAACGACATAGCCAGGCCTGAAGGCCATATCTTATACAATTCCACTCATGTGAAACATCAAGAACAGGCAAACTCACAGAAACAGCAGGCAGGTCAGTAGTTGACAGGGAGAGGGAGAAATAGAAGTGCTGCTTAATGAGAACAGAGCTTCCTTTAGAGTTGATTCTGGGGCCAGAGCGAGACATTGGTTGGCCTGCCTCATACTTTAAAGTGGCCTCAAGAGTTGGGCACCTGGTGGTGCACCCCTGTAATCCCAGCACTTGGGAGGCTGAAGCAGGAGGATCACTGAGAGTTTGAGGCCAGCCTGGGCTACATAGTGAGTTCAGGCAAGCCTGAACTACATAGTAAGACCCTGCCTTAAAAAACAAACAAAACAGGGGCCTGGGATTTAGTTCAGTGGTTCTGCCAACTGCCTCGCAAGTGCAAGGTCCTGAGTTGGATCTCCGGTACCAAAACAACAACAACAACAACAAAAATCAACCGATGGCCACAAGAGTAAATATATTCTGTGTATTTTATCACAATAAAAATTAAGTAAATATAAATTACCTGCATCTGTTTCTTTCTACATCATAAAATATGACTACAAAACTTAAAATTCTATTTGTGACTCACCTATTTGTAATGAGCAGTGGTAATTTGGAGAGTTCCTCGGGATTCATCTTGCTTAATTTCCTCAATTAATTTTCTTTTCAATGTTTTTCTTTCCTTCTTCCCGTTTTGTGGAAGGGCGACTGAATCCCAGAGGCACTCTGGGTTTTGGTTCTGACTTCTCCCAGTGAGAATGATTACAGATGAATATTCTTCTAAAAAGATGTGTTCGGGCATCAATCCATCTGTCCCATGCAACTGATTACCTAGTGACCACCACAGATCACATTCAAACACCCAGAAAAAAATATTAAGTTCAGGCTGGGGATTTCATTCAGTGGCACCGCATCTGCCTCAAAAGCACAAGGTCCTGAGTTCAATCCCCAGTACCAAATCATCATCATCATCATCATCATCATCATCATGTGGATGCAGATGGGAGGTACATAAGGAGAAGACGCCAGACCCACATCTGCCCACAACCTGCCTGAAGGCCCAGCACTGGGCTTCCCTGTGGGCACAGGGCAGGGGTCACAGCCAGCTTTCCAGAGGTAGCAGCTTCTAGGTCTTCAAAGGCTCCTGGCCAGTCCTCGCCTGGCCCTAATCCTGCCCTTCCTCTCCGATGAAAGGTCTTGGCCACATCTCATGTCCTCATGGGTGGCTAGCAGCCTGATGAGAGAGCAGGGACCCTCAGGGTGGTGTGCATTTATCTCTTCCCCTCTATGGAAGGGGTTGAAACTGGCAAGATTCTGTGGGCAAAGTTAACTCTAGGGAAGGAATTACTAGTTGAGTTGCTATTGTCAGTGATCAGGGTTGAAGTGACTCACACACACCCAACAAAGAATTTTAAAATCCTGCACCAGGTGTGGTGGTGCACACGCCTCTAATCCCAGCACTGTGGGAAGCTGAGGCAGGACTGAGCCTGTAGGAACCAAGTTTTCTGATCGAGGTGGTCTCCCTCTTTGCCCTTTGCTCAGAATAGCAAGACCAAGTTTTCTGGGTAAAGGGCTATAACAGCCTCCTCCCTGTTTTTCTGTTCCTCTTTTTCTGATCTGAGGGTGAACTTGTCCCCTCCCTGATAGTTGCTGGAGTTTGCAGAATAAGATATCTCTGCTCTTTTTCTGACCCGAGGGTGAACTTGTCCTCCCCACTGATAGTTGCCTAGTAATGAATAAGTTAGAGATATTATAGTCCTTGCTGAGTATAGAGTTTGCCTAATTGTGTAATCACATAAAGTGTTCCTTAAAAATAGAAATAGAGTGCCCCCCACTGAGCTTCTCATGAGTATAATTCCCCTCATGAGAATGAGGTATTTCCCCTAAGTGTCCCAATAATAACCCTTAGTAATGAAGTTAAAAATTATGAATAAGTTAGAGATATTATAGTCCTTGCTGAGTATAGAGTTTGCCTAATTGTGTAATCACATAAAGTGTTCCTTAAAAATAGAAATAGAGTGCCCCCCACTGAGCTTCTCATGAGTATAATTCCCCTCATGAGAATGAGGTATTTCCCCTAAGTGTCCCAATAATAACCCTTAGTAATGAAAAGTTAAAAATAGTATCACTCCTCAGCCCTATATAAGCATATCTTGAAAATGGGTCAGGGCCTTCAGTTGGAAGCCGTTGTGATGGTGCCACTGAGGGTCCAGGCTCGAGCTTGCAATAAACTCTTTGTGTGTTTGCATCAGAAGAGACTCCTTGGTAGTCTTCTTGGGGATTTCGTGACTTGGGTACAACAACCCCAGCCTCAGCATTTTAGGGACTCAGCAAGACTCTGTCTCAAAAGAAAATACCAGGATGTATCTCCGTGTGGAGGCTCTGGATTCAGTGCCCAATACCACAAAGAAAAAAAAAAAATCTTGAGATTGCTTTTGTTTTATCAGTTGACCCATTCCTGCAGTGGTACCTGTTTGGAATGAAACTCTGAATTTCTCTGTCAGCTTAGCTTGCAGCTTAATATCCTGTCAGACTGCAGGCTGCACCTCAATTACACAAGCACAGCGAGAACATTTTCAAGTTTTTGGTACTTACAGACCCTGGGGTGCTCAGCCAGCCTCGAGTGGAGCAGAGAGGAGAGCAGCAAGCAGCAGACTGTAATACATACCGGGAGTGTGTGGGTCTCTTCAGGTTGGCGAGCAATGATCCGTGAAAGGAAGGCTGCTGCAAAAGCCCAGAGAGATGCCTTTGTTTTTATCTCTGGCAGCCAGCCTGGGTAAGCAGGGTGTGGTGTAACAATTTGAAATTACATGATTGCTCCACTCCACAATTGCTCTTGGGAGGAGTGTCCAATTTGTGTTAAAATAGATGCTGAGGCCGCATCAGGCTACAATAGTACTATATTTTTTTTTAACTCATGGTTGTGTGTTTTTATCTATCATGAAGGACAAACTCCCTATTCCTCTGCTTGCTTCCAATTTCTCTTATTTTTCAGGATCTTCCCGGATATTTGTTTATGCCTCGCTGCTAGCAAATCTGTTTTTCTAGAGTTTTGTTTGTTTGTTTTGCTTTTTGAGACAGGGTCTGGCCATGCAGCCCGGCTGGCCTTGAACTCACAGTGATCCTCTTGCCTCAGCCTCCTGAGTGCTGGGATCACAGCTGTGTGCCACCATCCCGGCTTTTTTCAGATTTTTTGAGATAATCCTTGAAATACAAAAATTAGATCTATTTGAGGTGGAAATGTGATGTTTTAACATACAGAGAAACACAGAATTGATCTTATCTTTGAATTCTGCCCTTTCTCCCTTTTTGTTGCCCCTTTCCCTCTGCTAATGAGGTAGCAAACAGAATAAGGACAAGACTATGCCAGAGTATCAGGAAACCAAGAAATAAAGGTCACCCTATCCCTTCCCAAGCCCCAGGCATACTCAAAACCAAAAGAACGTGATCCTGACCTTCCTCCAATCTCACTGCAGTGTGGTTTTGACATCCCGCCTGGTGGGCTTGGATGGGATGACAGTTCCTGTAAATAAGGATCACAAGGGATACCAGACAATGAGAAATAGCAAGAAAAGGTCCGAAGGGGCAGAGGAAGTGGGACGGGTTGGAGAAAGGAAAGAAGGGAACGGAACTGAAATGAGAAAAGGAAAAAATGGAAACCAAGTCTTTGTAAATAGGAGGCGTGGAGGGCTTGAAGGGAGGACAGGGAAATGGGGCAAAAATAGAACCAAGATAAATTACATAAAGGTACAAATTTCCTGTGATGAATGTCATTACAATGTATACCTAAAATGTACCAATAAAGTTAATTAAAAGCAAAAAAAGTCATAGGATAAACAACTCCCCCTCTCAGTGATGGGCTGCGTCAGGTGTCCCTGTGGACCACGACTCCCAGAAAGGCCCAGGTATAGACCCTCCCATAACCCTGGAACTTCAGAGAGCGGCACCTGCCTCTCTGGGGCAGTGAGCTCTTCTTGCTGGCCAGCCCCCTGCCCTGTACATTTACTTCATTGCTTCTTTCACCTACACTTATCGGTCCATTTAAAATAAGTCTTACTCTTCCCGCTTAACGCTTTGTCCAGGATACCAAGAACCTGGAAACAGCTCCCGCCGGACGCCCCATCTGGTGACACCGCCGTGCCCTTGTTAAACACCTCTCATATTACTCTCTCTCTTCCGCACCTTTCCTTTCTCTGCCTCGCCTCTCCCCCGTCTCTCCTCTCTGAACATGGACACTGGCCCAGAGTTACCAAACACGAGAACCTGCATCCCTGTCTTTGAGTCACAGCTCCCTCTCCTCCAGAAAGGAGGGGAAAGTGGCTGTGATCCCAGAATGGAAAAACGGATCCCGTCCAGGGGGCAATTGGCACAGAATGAAGAAGCTTCGGGGTAACACCCCTGGGCTGGGATGTAGCTCAGTGGTGCCGCCGCTGCCTCACAAGCGCAAGGTCCTGAGTTCAATCCCCAGCACAGAAAAAAGAAATTATATATATATGTATGTATGTGTGTGCAAAACATCCCTCACCTGCACCTTCACCAAACGTCCCTTTCTTTCACTTTTATTCATCTACTGTTCCCCTTCATTCCTCTTCATTTACCTTTGCATTTTCTCTTTCCTTTCTCCTCCTTGCTCTGGCCCAAATTTGGCACCTAAACAATGATTTACATTAACAGCAAAAAATATAGCTTCCTATTAATTTTTGCAGATCACAGTTACTTGTGAGGGTTTCAGAGCTCTCGTGTGTAAAAGAAGACAAAGAAGAGCACTGCCTGTAGTGTTTAGAACTCGCCTGAGTTAGCTCAGGAGACAGAAGTGTGGCACACCTGGCCCATCCAGGCTTAAATTTCTCCCACTGCACAGGGCACCAACTTTCCAAAGCACGGCCAGATATTTCAAAGGATAACCTGGACAGCCCAGCTTGGTGAGTAAATGGTTTAATTGTTTCTTAGGGGGTACAGAGTGGTGAAGGTCACCACTACCCATTTGTTAGGCTGCTGTTTTTATGAGGTTGTCAGTTAAACTGTAAAAGGCAGGGTCAAAGATAAGAAGGGTTCTTAGGAAACGTTCTGCATCATCTGTTCCAACCTCACCCTTAGGAACTCTGCTTGCATCTACAAACACTGTGCCCCAGAATAGGACAGTCTCAGTCACGGGGCTAGGGCTCTTGGGGTAACTAAATAGCAAGCGACTACAAAATAGAGTTACTCTGGCTGGCTAGGGTTCCCTCCTGACTTCTTGGTTAATATTACCAGGTGGTAAAAATCAAACAGGACAATGAGATTGATGGTGAAAACAATTTTTTCTCTCCTATTTCTGTTTTAGGACTCATTTTCTCTTTATAGAAGCAACTTCCTTTGGTTTCCTTTTGTCCTTTAAAACTTAAGGTACACAATTGAGTAATCAGACGTATTGTGAGCGTGTGTGTGTGTGTGTGTGTGTGTGTGTGTGTGTGTGTGCCCGGTGGTGTACTGGTACACACTTCACAACTGGCTTTCTGGAGTGGGGAGGAGACCCTAACATGGGGCACCTGCCAGTTCTCTTGGTGGGCGTCAAGAGTCCCACCACGGTTGATCTCATGTTATTGACACAATGTCCATGTGTGGAGTTGGGATGAGGTAGATAACTAGCCACAGCACAGCACTGAAAATACACATGTATAGACACACATCCACATACATGTTTACATGCACAGATATATATGTGTATATATGCTTGTTTCTAGGAAAAGCAGCAAAAATGGCTTTGATGTGCTCACTTCAGTATCACATATACAGAAAAATGGCTTTGATGATGGAGCGGCCCAAGGACGAGCCTCCATTGCCTTTGATATTAGCCCAGGGAAACCTACATGATGTCTGACCTCCAGAACTGAGAATAGATGTGTTTCTTTTGAGCTACTCTCCAAAAAGAAGCAGCAAAAGACCTACAGCACACTTTCCTTCACTTTATATCATATATATAGATATCTTTTCATATAATACTTCCAGAGACTATAATGTTTTTCTCTACTGCTTATTATATTTCATTATACAGACCTGCCATTGTTTGGCAAGCCAGTTTCTGACTGACAGATATTTCAGAAGCGCTTTCTGGCCTGGATTAGACCACAGTTTTTCTATCCTCCAGCACTGGCTCACCAGAGAGATGTGTAGTCTTTTCAGAGAAGTGGAGCCTCAAACACTCCTAGAAGCCTTCAACTGTAGTGGAAATCAATATGGAGATACCTCAAACATCTAGGATTAGAAGTCCCATTTGACCCAGCTATTTCTCTGTTGGGTATCTTCCCAAAAGAATTAAAAGAATCATACCACAGTGATACATGTGCACCCATGTTTATAGCAGCACTGTTTGTAATACCTAAAACTTGGAAACAACCCAATTGTCCATCAACTGGAGCCTGGATAAAGAGGATGTGGTTTTCTATAAAATGGAGAATTACTAAGCCATAAAGAATGAGAAACTAGAGACATTTATAGCTAAATGGATGTATATTGAGGCTATGCTCTTAAGTGAAATAAATAGGACACACTTAAGTAAATATACCGAATAGTGTCTCTGGTGTGAAAAACTAAAAGTAAATAAGGCCCAAATGGTATCACTGAGAGGGTGAAATAGGAAGAAAATGCTAAAGGGGAAGAGGAAAAAATGGAAACAAAGTCTTTGTAAATAGGGAACGGTGAAGGGGGTGAAGGGAGGGCAGGGGAATGGGAAAAAAACAAGACCCAAGACCTGTCATGTAAAGGTACAAGATCCCAATGATGAATGTGACTGTATCGTCTGCTGTAAATGCGCGAAGAAACTTAATGGGGGGAGCACTCCCAGAAGCCTACTGGGAATTCACTCAGTAAACCAGGCTGGACTCTCCCTGTTACCATGGGATACAGGCTAATTTTAGTGCTTTCTCAGGAACTGAGAATAAGGCGGATTGTAAAGAAGAGGTTAAAAGAACTCTCAAGTGGTTTCTTTTACTGAACAGTTGGAAAGAGACCCTTATTCCCATGAGACAGGTGTGAGTCTGAAAATGGAATAAATTATATAAATCTCCTGTTTGGGGATCTCTTGGAACCTGGCAGAGGGATGGTTTTGGAGTTTTGTTTTATTTTTATTTTTTATAGCAAAACATTGGTACATTTTTAGGCATATGCGATGATAATGCTCATCATAGAGAAGAGGGATGGTTTTTGATAGAAAGACATAAAAGCCTGAATATGAGACTTCGATTTTTCTTGCCTTTTGAAAGATCTATTGAAAAAATAACTTGTGCTTGTCCCGTGGTGCTTGTTAACTTAAGACTACAATTTTTTAAACCATTTCTCACTGCTCCCTAGTTTGAACGGGGGCCAAACTATATCACAATAGAAGTCTGTTTTTTTAATTGCATTGTCAGAGCCAAATTGCTTTCCGTTACTAAGGATACAGCCTAATGGTGAGGTTGGTGGTACGGGCAGTGTTTCCCATGGTGCCGCACGGGGCCTATGGACAGACAGGACCAGGTCTGCGGCCCTCCAGGGGCGTCTACAGAAAGATGCAGATGTATTGAGCTCTGGGGCTCAAGTTTCCTGCCAGATGTCTCTGGCAAAGTGGGTGACACCAGTGCCTTTTATTTCTTATGTCTTTCCACAGCTCATGACCAACAACTCCTTAAAGACCAGGATGGAGTCTTCTACTGGCTACATCTAACCAGTTGAGAAGCGGCATGTGTCCCAATAAATAGTAAAGGACTTTGGCAATTTCTTTTACAGTAAGAAGGAACAGGGAGGGGATTCGCCCAGATTTAGAAGGGAAGGAGTGAGGCCTGTATGTTTCCCCAGAGTGGAGACGCAGTTCCCATCCATGACCCTGAGCTTTTCCGGTGTCCAGGACATGGCAGAAAGGTTCACCGGGACGGCTCTCCGAGGGATTGAAGCAAATGCCTAAGGACAGCCAGAGACAAAGGTCACCTAGGGGAAAGGGCCAAATGAAACTTTCATCAAAGCATAAAAGGGGCAGACTGGGGGCAGGTCAAGCAGGAAACCAATCCCTGGAAGCTTTTCTCCAAAAAGAATGAGAAAGCTAAAGGAGGGATAGGCAAGAACCAAAGTATGGGAACAAAAAAAGCTATTAAACTCCAGGTCACACGCCCGATACAAGGCATGGAGTTATTTTGCACCTAGCAGAGCTCTCAATGCTCTATTCCACAACCGAGCTGCCCCGCCACGAAGTCTTCAAGCAGGGAATGGCCTAACGCTTCCCAACTGTATGACGCATGGCCAACTAAAGACAAGTCGGATAAATGGGGAAGCTGAGAGCGGGGAAAAAAAGAATGTTCTCCCAAACATTCTGGCTGAGCTCGCCAAGAAATGCAAAGTCGTGACTGTCCCAGTTTTGGTAACCCAAAGAACTGAGCGAGACACACAGTGGAAGTGAAAAATACAGACTTATTACCAAAGACACATCATCATCACAGGGTGGGAGCAGGCCTCCAAGAAAGCAGGCGTCAGAGGGAGCAGCAGCTCTTTGAACTGCTGCAGCAATTTACTCCAATGGGGGATAAACCTTTCTGATGGCGGTAGAGAGAATTTGTCCCTAAACAGACCCTTGCGGAACTATCATGGCGCCCAAAGCCCATGGGAAGGGGGGTGCCAAAGCCACAGTGTAAATTAGGTTTAAATTAGTTATAATGGAATTGGAGTCACTTCCAGTTAAGAGTCAGACAAGGCTTAGCTGTTGGAGGTAGACGTTCTTTGTCGTTTTTGGAGCTTCTGTTGGCCCCTCCCTGAAGCCTATCGTACATGTGCCCTCTTATCTTTACTGGCTGCGATCTAGCTGTTAGAATTGGGCACTCTGTTTTTTATTTTTTCTTTTGCACCAGAGATCAAACTCAGGACCTTCAGCTGCAGTCTGTGGTTCTGAGGAAGCCAGTTTCCCCTTTTCCCCTCTGTCCTCAAGACTTCCTTCTTCCGAAAGCTGGGATTGCCAAGGACAGACAAAGTTATGGCGATCAATATACCTACCTACTTCATGACACATCATCACGATGGGGAATTATTAGTACAGAAAAACTTCAGGGCAATGACTGGAGACTTGGGACACAGTATAGTGTATGACATTGGTGTCGACAAATCTAGTCTGTAATTGCCACTGGAGAAGGACCCAATGAATTGAGGACAAGCTGTTGAGGAAAGGAAAAAGATCTCCTTGGTAAACTGCCAGAACTGGGAAGCTAGTGGACTAGCAGAGAGCTAGCAGAAAACAGGACTGAAGCTCCTGTGAGCTTTAGACAAGAGGGAAAGAAGGGGGTTAGACTAGGAAGTGACTGATGACTGGAGACTCCTGGGCGCCTCTCCAGTGCAGTGGAACTGCATGGGGCAGATCCTGGTAGCTGATAATCCGTCGATGTGGCTTGGAGTCACAAGAGTATGACACACCTGAAAATCTTTAAAAGCATCTGAAGTTGTATTTCTCTTGGCACTGTGAGTGTTGAAGGGAGAGGAGACAGTGGGGTAGCTTTGGGTCAATTAATCTTGTTTCAGAAACGTATTCTTCAAATGATTAACAAAGGTTGTTTATTCAGGGAGACCAGGGGTACAGGACAGGAAAACGGAGGCTGAGGGACACAGGGAAGCTGTATAGGAGCTCAGGGAGGCTCATGGGGGGATAGGGAATTCAGAGGTGACGGGGGTTCAGGAAGGCCTGTGCTCAGGGAGGCATAGACTTTTTTTTTTGTTTGTTTCCAGTACAGGGGATTGAACCCAGGGCTTTTACCCTGAGCTACATCCTCAGCCCTTTTCATATTTTTTGCTCTGAGTACAGGTCTTATTAAATTGTCCAGGCTGGGCTTGAACTTGCAATCCTCTTACCTCAGCCTCTCAGTGTGTTGCGATTAGAATTACTTGCCACCATACCTGGCTGTCACAGGCATTTTCCCAGATGTCTGATCCACAGGCAAAGTTAGTAGAGGACTAATAACAAATTGCTCGGCTGCATGATCCCCAAAATTAGTGTCTTTTTAAGTCAATTAAATTAAGTAACTAAAAGCCCGTGAACACAGAGTATTTCTTTTGGGTTTTCCCTTGGCATAGTCAAGACCACAATAGGAACAGAGGATAAACTCTATACTCTTAACCTGTTACTCGAAATAGTAACTCTTCACTCGAGTCTACAGATGCCCCACAGGTAACTAAAAGCAGAACAATATTTGACCTTCATTGATCACCTTAGCACTGGGTCAGATCCTTGCTCGGTTCTGCATACAGGTGTCATTTAGGGAGCTCTGCTTTAAAAATTGGCCCACCTGTCCTTTAACCTGGCCCATCAGTCTTTGTGACGGAGGACAGAAAGATTTATGGTGACGTTCAACTATGCCTTTAAGTTTCCAGTCATTGCCATAAACATAAAGTCACTCTGGATCCCAGCAAAGCCTCCAAAAAACTGAGACTTCCCCAAGCAGGAACAACCATCTCACGGAGACCGAATTGTACCCTGAAGTGGTAAGGACTTCTCCAGGAGTCACTGTGCAAACCAGAACTTAAATAACGATCAACCGGACTCTACCTCACTCCAGCAAACTCATGAAAGCTGGCCTTGTTCTTCTGTGACTGGGCCAGTCTGATTCTCTTCCTAAGAGCTGTGCCCACTTCAGTTCCTCAAGGTAAAGTCCCCATTTTCTCCTATTTTCTAACTCTGCCTAATAAACCTGCCTATGCCTCACACTTTGTCCTAAAGTGATTTCTGTGGCTAGGGTTGATAAACCTGCTCCTTGGGAGATGAGTTGAGGCCCCACCTCCTCTTTGAGGGACACCCTTGGTTTCCTCAGTATTAGACACGTCATTTCCTTAAGGCAGTAAGGCCACCCAAGCTCAAGATCCCAGCAAGAGTGGGACTCGTCCTTTCACCCTGATGGAAAAGGGCTAACAATTTCTTGATTGCTGATCTTACGACAGCAATATTCTACATGCATTTTATGTATGACATAATTTAATTCTCAGATCCTTTTGTGGGAAAAAAATTGAGACACACAGAGACTAAATCCTTCGTCAGGGTCACAGAGAAACAAGACGGTATTCTGCGCCACCCCAGTGCTCCACAACGATACACCCATCGTCCCACTGAAATTTCACAGCGGCCCCTAATATGCACGATTATCCCCAAAGCATACACGAGAAAACTGAGAGCTCAGTGATATCAGGACTCACCCAAAATCTCTACTATTAAGTGGCAGGGCCGTATTTCCAAGAGTGAAAATTTCCTCTCAAATGAAAAGACAAACGAGCTCTTGGCCCCAGCACTGACATACTTGCAGAACTGCTTCAACCCCAATCCACCACCGACTGCCTAGCAACAGTGACTAAGCCTCAACCAATCACCGGCCAGGGGCCACATGCCTGAGCCAGCCAATCACCAACAATCACACTAGAAGGCCCACATTTCTGCCACGAGACTCTCCTGACTCTGCACCGATCCCCAACCTCTATGCTCTCCAAATCCAAATGAGATCAGTTCTCTGCTTTGCCATCTTCTAAGCACAACATTCCCTTGCTAAGCAATGTTCTCAGCTTATTTCAGATGAGAGCTCTTCTGCCAACACACTTGGTCTTTTGAACCCAAAGATTGAGTCCCCAGGACTTCAAGTAGCTCCTATTCTGGAGAAAGGAGGCCTTTAAAATGCGCAAACACTGCTGGAACTTAACCGAGGCAAGGACTTACCTTGTGTGGAAGTCAGCCAGGGAAAGAGCACCACACCCCTTTTATTTAACCAAAGCTGTGTGTCCCTGGAAGTGACCTCAGCACTGACCTTTTTCCAATTTCTTTTTAAAGTGTTTACCGATGACACATATTCACAATTGCAGTTGCCTTGATTTTGTGGCCTAAGTGGCAGAGAATTTCTGGAGCCAAGCAGATGGGCCATGTGTCCGGGATAACACTGCCATTTCCAAGCAACTCACAGTAAGGGTCAAACTCCACATACGGAGGTGCAACTTGAAAGTACGTACTTCTCCAAGTGGCCAACAGTACTTACTACCTCTTAGATGTTCATGGCTGATCGCACACTTAGTTATTTCAGTAGTCAGCTGGGAGGAGTATGGAGAAACTACCTTAGGCTCCATGTGGAACGGTTTATTTGTGTCACAGCAGTGAGAAAACGGTCTTTGCAGTTTGATGTCCTGGCCAAACTGTTACAGATGCCCAAGGAGGAGGTGGGGACCTCGACTTAGCTTGTTGAATAGGTTCTTGACTCTGATCACATGAAACGGATCGCAGGACACACAGTGAGAGGCACAGGAAGGTTTTATTGGGGAGAACTAAAGTACAGACTCAAAAGATAAAGAGTGTAGACACTCAAAAGAGTAGAGTTATGGTCTGAAGCTGGAAATATTTAGTTTTTGTGCATTGAAAATTTGTGAATCTACAGATGTCTCAGGTTCAATTTAAAATCTATAGTATGCAGATGAAACAGCACCGAGATTCCACCTGACCCCAGAAAGAATGGCTGCTATCACGAAGTCAACTGACAACAAATGCTAGCAGGGTTGTGGGGAGAAAGGAGCCCTTCATTGTTGGTGGGAGTGCAGACGGTGCAACCACTGTGGAAGTCAATATGGAGACACCTCAAACAACTAGGATTAGAGGTCCAGTTTGACCCAGCCATCCCTCTGCTGGGTATCTTCCCAAAAGAATTAAAAGGATCATACCACAGCGATATATGCGCACCTATGTTTATAGCAGCAGTTTGTAATAGCTCAAACTTGGAAACAGCACAATTGCCCACCAACTGGAGATTGGATTAAAAACAAAAAGTTTTTTAAAAAATAAAATGGAGTACTACTCAGCCATAAAGGAGAAACTAGAGACATTTATAGCTAGCTAAATGGATGCACATTGAGGCCATACTTTTTTTTTTTGTTTTTTTTTGGCTTTGGTACATGGAGGTATACAGTACAGTTAACATTCATCGTTGGGATCTTGTACATTTACATGACGTACCTTGGTTCTTATTTTTTTTGTCAGATAAGTTAAGGGAGGTAACGCACAAAACATTTAGGGTCAAGTCTGGCTCATTTTATGCTCATTTATAAAAAAAAAAAAAAAAAAAAAAAATCAGTGGTCTCTTCATAGTGAGGTTGTTGCTGGGAAATGGTTCCTGGCAAGGTACATTTCCCAGCAGCCTTTGCAATAGGCATCACCATGTGAACAGTTTTGTGTGGTCACATGACTGGGACCTAGCTATTACAAGGGAGCCTGAGTGGTGAGTGCTGCTTCCTGCTTCCTGCCATGCCTCTTACAAAACCTCTTGTGCTGCCCTCCAAAGTATGCCAGGGCCAAGCTCTATCCTCATCCCATCCTGATGGGTTGTGACAAATTTTAGGATAAATAAGATTCACACCCAAGAAAGCATCTCACTGCTCCCCCAACTCCAGGTTCTCTTCAGTGTCCACATACCCCAGCCAGGAGCGTGCTCTCCTCACTCTAACCTGACCATGCGGCATCCCTGCGTGCTGCGGAAGGTTCTACAGTCACACGGGTGCACACAAAGTTTTCCACGGCAGTCAGTGACTGCTGGCTCACATGGAGCCAAATTCTAGCCCACCTTTACCCAGGTAATAGACCCAAGAATATAACTCTGACTGCGTGCCTGTGTCCTCTGGTAAGGGGAGTAACAGAAGTACCTGCCTAGTGGGGCCATCAACGGCAAGAATCAGTACAAGAGGGAGATCCCAGGTTAGTAACGCAGGAAGGCAGCGTGACTTAGGGGTCAGGCTCAGATTTCACAGCCCACTCCAGTGAGCCCTGTCAGGTGAGGACCACGATGACAGCTGCTCTGTGGCCTTCCTACGCACTGCCTTAATCAGCCCCAGGCAGGATACCGTCAACTGGGCTAACAGGAAATCTAAACGAGAGCTACTTCACAATAAAGGAGCTTCACCACATCCCCCTAAGGCTGGTGGCAGGGCAGCTCCGGGATGCAGACTGGGCTCTGCTTCCCTTGGCCACCTGAACCCTTGTCTGCCCTCCTCCAGATAGGGGCCCGAGTGCTGCTTCAGGTCCCCAGGAAGCAGCCAGTTCTTTCTGTGACAATCTCGGCAAAACAGACTTTTGAGAAGATTCCTCCTAATTCTAGATTTCCCACTGCACTGGCCATAAATTCTACCATATGCCACCTCACCCAAGCCATGCCTAGCTGCATGGGGCTACCCAGCCTGGCTGAGCTCATCTGTACCTCCAGGGAGGACAGGGCCCGGTGGTGGTGGTGGGATGGGAGTGAAGGCATGGTGGGTGACCAGCAGCAATGCCCTGGCCTCTCCTGATGTGCCAGTGGGACCCGAGCTTCAGCTGTAACTTACTAAGCACCTTCCTGTGCCAGGCATTAGGCTGGAGAGTAGGTGTTAAACAATTAACAGGGACAGCCACTGCCTGCCTTCTAGGTGTGGCATTTGCAACACTGCTGACAGCTCAGAGGTGACGCTTGCTCCCAGACTGTGGGTGGTAGATCTGGAAGCCACACAGTACTTGCTGTACTCACTGTGCCCCAGAAGGGTGGATGTGCCCTCCCAGCTCTTCCCGTGATTCTCTGCGCCCTGGCTGCCATGCGTGGGCAGCTCTCCTCGCCCAGATGCTCCCACCACGCCTTCCAGCCTTGGAGCTGGCCAACTGTGGACGAAAAGTGTCACCAAGAAATGACTCTTCCGAGTTGTGGGTGGTGGACTATTTGTCCCGGAGACCAGAAAGTGACTGAGACATCATATATAGCCATTTAAAGGAAATGAAACATCAGAGGCCTCAGCTGCACTGGCCTCACATCCCACGCTGTCCCTGCAGGCGGCTGGCAGCTGGTGCACTGTGCGGGGCAGGCGCAGAGCACCTCCGTCACCGTGGAGGGTGCTGCTGCATGACAGCGACACACTCTACACCAGCGTGGGCTTCCAGAGCTCTGCCCCCGGAGCTAATAATACTTATCAATGTCTAATAATGATTTATTGGAAGCAGGGACCAAATGAATTCCAGACCCAGTGTAGACCACCTGTGGCACACACATCAGACTGGACACCGATCTTCCGCGTTCCTGGGTACCCTGTGCCTCTGACCCCGGCCCTGGAGCACAAGGGCTTAGTAGAAATCTTCACTGTCAGAGTCTGAGTCAATGCCTTGGTTCTGAATTTGACTTTGCTTGCGGTACAGACAGGCCACCTGAGGAGAGGGGTATGGGAGGTCAGCAGCTTCTGGGCTGCCCCCTCCACAGCCCAGGCCCAAACCGCCTCTCTCAGAAGCTGGTCACACCAGGCAAGCCCACCCCGGAGGCCCCGCCCCTCCTGAGGGTCTCACCTGGGCACTGGTAGTGGCCTCCTCTGGCTTCTTGTCTTCACGCACTTGAATAAACCGAGGGAAGCGAAGGGAGATCCCCTTCTCACTGTCCACCTAATCAGGGGTCGGGACGGGAGCACGGTGGTAAGAACTCTGGTGCTCGAGCTGCAGTCTGCCGACTGAGCAAAAACCTATCCAGTCTCTTCCTCCTCCTTTCACCCTGGCCTCGGTTTCCCAGCCCACAGAATGGGCATGAGCAATGAACTGCAAGGATTAAAACCCTGACAAAGTGCTCACATCCTCCGTGTCAGGGGCACAGTAAGACCTTAAGAAATGCCTGCTCTTATCGTCATGCTCTGCTGGGAAAGACAACAGCAGACTCGGGGTATGTATCACAGAGCAGCACTGGAGGCAGCCAACCTACGCGGCCCTGGATCGGTTACCTCAGCTCTCTCCGGCACTCTCTCTTCAGCTGTGAAACACGTTCCTATCACCATGTCTCTGCGGTTTTGTGCAACCTGCCAGTCCTGACACGGCATTGCCACCGTGAGCACCGGCCCCTGCACTAGTTCCCACGGAACCCTGGCTCCCCACTGTACAGCATGAATGAGAAATTAAAAACTGGATCAAAGACAGGAGTTCCTCGTTAGAAATGGATGCGGATGTGTCTGCAGTCAGAAAAGCACACTGAAGAATAGTTTTGAAGAATAGAATTCCCCGCAGAACTTTTTAAATTTGACCGTTACTGTCCTCTGGAAGACGAGGACTGCAAAGCTGTCTCAGTGCTGGCCACAGGCCTCAGTCCCGCGGCTGCGTACAGATTGCTTCACATGGTCCCAAGGGTCAAACCACTGGGTGTCAGCCAGGTAGTGTGAGAACAAATTCTAGTTGTTGAGGCAGTAACGGTGGCTGCTGAAGGACAAGCTCAGGGGCAAGTGCGCTGGGCTTTCACATAAAAGATCTTGGGGTTGTAAACATTACTTCAGAGGTTAGGCCATGCATGGTGATGCACACCTATAATCCCGGCACTCTGGGAGGCTGGGGCAGGAGGATCCCAAGTTCAAGCAGAGCTTCGGCAACTTAGTGAGATCGCTCTCAAAAGAGAAAAACGGAAAGGGCTAGAAAGGTAGCTCAGTGCAGAGGTGCTGGGTCCACATCGAGGCATCTTCCCGAAAGAGCTAAAGGCATCACAGCACAGCCTTACACATACACCAACATTTACAGCTGCACAATTTATAACAGCAAAATCCTGGAAGCAGCCTACGTGTCCATCGACAGATGAATGGATGAAAAAACTAAATTTTAAATTAAATCATGGTATCTATACATAGCAGAATACTGCTCAGCTATTAAGAAACATAAATCTGAGACATCTGTAGGAAAACGGACACATTTGGAAAACAGTGTCAAGTGAACTAAGTCAGACACACAAGCTTAAATTCTGTAAGTTGCTCTCATTTGAGATATAAAGTAAAAATAAAGAACAAAATAAAAAATTGATAAAGGGAATTGGAGCCGAAGGGAGGGGGTGGGAGTAGGGACGGGTATATAAACGGACTTAAAATGCATCATGTATTAAATACGTGTATTAAATACCCACAAGGAATGCAATCAATGTACATCATAAACATGAACTAAAAATTCTAAAAAATAATAATAATGATGGGGAAAGAGAATCTAAAGATGGAGAAAACAGGTAGGTGGTGAAGGAAAGGGGAATAAAAAAATCAAAATATGCTAAGTACATGTTACACCCACTCCCTAGGATGAATGTAAACTACAGGTACTGAAAACATGTTCTAATTAAAAAAAAAAAGAAACAGATGCTGGGTTCAGTCCTCAGTACCACAAAACAAAGAAAAAAATCTTCAGAGCCAAAGGCAAAATTATATCACAAAAGGGAACAACATTGCGGGTTTTTTTTTCTACTGAGGAATTTTTTTTCTACTTCACTATCTGACACCCAAATGATGTCAGTTTTCTCGATCATCGCACAGGGGGCGCAGATGTGGGCCCCACTTCCCTCCCGAGCTCCTTCCCAGGCCCAGCAGGTACTCACCAGGCCGCGGGCGGCTGGGTAGATGGGGGAGAGCGAGAGGTCAGCACACTTCACCTCCCACACGGCCCTGGGGTCCAGCCAGTGGTCGGGCGCCACAGCACCGTCTGCCCGCACGTAGGGACGCGGGGTGGGCAGCACCAGGGCCTGGGCGAGCAGTGGAAGAGGAGAGGGCGTTGGATCTCAAAGTCCAAGCCAAAAGTTCCAGATTAGCAGTGAAGGGGCGGGGGAATGGAAGGAACTGAAAGAGGCACCTCTTAAAGTAAAATGCGGGCGGAGAGAGCACACAGAAATGGGAGACAGCAGGAGGTGGAAGAGGGGCTCTGGGAGCGGAAATGGGACATTCATCGCCTAAGGGGCAGAGGCCCAGAGGGAGACAGGGGAGAGAGGGAGAGGACGAGGGACAGAGAGGAAAGGCGAGTCCGAGATACGTGTGTGGCGGGGGACACGGGCCCAGATCTACTGCGACAGTGACCCAGACAGCGGGGGAGTAGGGAAAGACACCCTGAGAGTGAGACAGAGACAGAGACTCACACCCAAATCCACCTGCTGTCACAATGACAAGCGCTCCCCTGCTCCAAGGCTCCGGAGCTCCCATGCAGTGCCCGTGGTGCTCCAAGGACAGCTCAGGCTCTGCGCTCAGGGACACCAGGCCCCTCGGCCAGATCACCAGCGAGTCAGCGTCCCGCAGAGCAGGAACTTAGGCGTGCTGGGCTCTAAGTCCAGCTCTGCTACCCACTGCCCTGCACCCCGGCCCAAAGCGTGAGGCCCAAGGGCCTGCACCGAGGAACCTCGGTCCGAGGCTCACCTGGAGGCTCTGGTGATGCTCTTCCAGCTGCTCGTCGCTGAAGCCCGTTCCAAGCTGCAGGGGGACGAGGAAGGTGAGCTCGGCCAGCCGCCCACCGCACACCTCCTCCCCGCTGCCGCCACCCAAGGACCTGCATGTGTGTGCCGGCCAGACCCTACCCACTGTCCACCCAGCGTGCACAGACACCCGAGGGAGGGGACTGTGAGTCCTAGGCGCTTGGTCAGCCCAGGCCACCCCGAAGGGAAACAACTCACCTCCCAGAAAGCTCCACTAATTCCTCACAGCCTTCCTTCCTTCCTTCCTTCTGCTTTGAAGAAACCGTCCTCCCCTTATGCTCACCAATACCCTACCCGCTCAGGAACTGTCACCTTCAGTCTCCAGACTGACAAGAGTTCCTCTCAACTACCAAACGGAAGAGGCTAAGAGGCAGTAAGGACACTTGGTGCTGAGAGACAAGACGGGCATCTCTACAGTGCTATTAAGTTGCACCTGGAAAGCCCTTTCTGCACTGAGAGCCTTTAATGCTTTTTGGCCTTTTGTTCCCGTTAGCCCTTTAAGGTCTGTTCTAAAATGGACAAGGTGAATAGGTGCAGACCGGTGCCCCAAGATACGGTGCATCATAAAATCACTTTGATTTCTGAGTTCATAGCATTTTAAGCACCGGTGTAATTCCTAAGAACCAAGGGCTGCAGCCCAGCCGTCGAGGGACAGGGTGCAGGCTCGAGAAATGGGGACACGAGCACTCCAGAATTCTCGTGCAGGCACTGGATCACGCTGCCATATTATTTAAATGTGCACAGTAACATTTCAATGTAGTGTTTATAGAACAAAAAGGCAGGAAAAAACGAAGTGACAGAGAATTTCAACTTTGTAAAAATATAAAAACCTTCCCTCTAAGGTTACTAATGCTTACAACGGTGCCCTGGGATTCTGGGTGATACTTTCGTTTCTGTGGCAAAAGACCCAAATATGCTAGATATAGGATCTGCACAGGAAAATCCAATCATAATGTACACATTTAAATTTTTTTTTAAACAACAACCAAAAAACAAATCTCCCAGAATCTCTCGCAGGTAGGAATGAGCCACGGAGTAAATCTCCAACCCATGAGACAGGCAGAAGCTGTTCACCGCTGACGCAGACCCAGGCGGGGTCAGGTTGGAACCATGATGCCACGAGGTCAGGAGCACATAACCAAAACAACTACAGGGAAAGAGCAGCGGCCTGGATCCTAACGACACTGGACACGTCTGCCTCTCCGCGCTCATTACACGGGAGAAAAGATCTTACTTCGGCCGCGACTCTTTGCAGCTGGATCCAGCTTCCTTACGTTTCTCTACAGTACTAGCTCATTTTTTCATAGGAAGTAAAAGTTACTTATTGAATAAGGGAAAAACAAAAAACAAAACCTGAACTAAGAAAACAGCAGTTCACACGGCTGGCGTGCGCCTCTGGGTCTGGGCCCTCCCCAGGTTGCTAGGTACAAGTCTGCCCCAGTCGAATCTACTTTTCTCCCACTTCCGTGGCAAGAACCCAGTCCCCAGGACCTTGCATATGGCCTGCAGCTCCTCGCTCTCCTCGTCATAGGCAGCCAGCAGGAAGCCCCCATAGCGGCCGGCCCGCTTTCCCCGGCCCAGGTAGGCGCCGATCACCACGAGGTCCAGGGTGTCACCCACACCATCGAGGTAGTCCTTCTTCAGCTGGGGAGGGAACAAGAGATGAGGGCACCCCGCCTGCTGGAGCTCGCCATGAGCTGAGGAGGGACGGGGTGAGGCTGAGTGTCCAGAGCACTGCGGGCGGTCACTTCAAGGAGGACGAGGGTGGAGAGCGCTTCTCAGCTTCAAGCAGAGGAAATGGGAAGAAAGGCAAAGTGGGTGCCTTGAGTCAACCTGATTTCTCAGTCTCTCCACATAGAGAACACTTCTCTGTCCACTCAAAAAACATTTATGATGGTTCCGCCGTCCGCCTCATAAGTGCAAGGACCTGCGTTGGATCCCCGGCACCAAAGAAAAAGAAACATTTATGAATCGCCGACTGTCCAGGCAGGCACTCGGCCTGGGAGTGGACGGTGTTCACGCACCTCACACCTGCTTGGTCCAGGGACAAAGGAAAAGGCGGCAAGCACCTGGCCAGCTCAGCCCTCAAACCTCTCGCTCCCTTCCCTTCACCCAGCCCCACTGTTCTCTACTCGAGACTGGCACCTCGTACCGGACAGCAGCCCCCCAGCCTGCTCCCCCCTCACCCGTGCTAGCCCTGTCCACTCCTACACAGCAGCCCGAGGACCACTCGGAGACTTCCTCGGGCCACACTATGCCGGCTTCTTAGAACTCCCGGAGGAAAACCCAGTTTCCCAAGGTGCCGCATGAGCCAGGGCCTGCTGTCTGCTCCAGGATGGCCTTGCCTGCCCTGGTTCCCTGCGTACACCGAACCCAGGCCTCCCTCAGGACCTCTGCACTTGTGGGGCACCCACCCTGATCTTCGTGCGGCCAAACCCTTCCTGCTGTCCAGGTCCTGACCCAAGCATTGCCTCCAGGGGCTTCTCTGCATCGCCCAAGTCCTCCAGCCTGCACCAGGCCTGGGCTGACCTGCTCTCTTCAGGTGCCCCTCACTGCCCAACTCAGTCCTGTTCATGTCCCAGCTGACTCCCTTCTGCGTCCCTCACCTGCCAGGGAAGGTAGTTCAGGGACAAGGAAGAGCCCACCCCAGAGTCCCCGGGGCTCAGTCCAGGCGCCCTCACTGACCAAGCCTTGTACAGCGAGGACAGCTAACCAAGGATGGAATGGTGGAACGGGTTCCCGAGCTCAGAGCGCAGCTGCAGACGTGACGCGTGTGCCCAGGGGGGACAGACTTCAGAACTGAGGCTGGCCAGGGTGGGCGCAATCACCTTGAGCCAGTTGTGCGACCTCTTGGCGATCTCGTAGGTGGCATTGACATCCAAGGTCTTCACCATCAGCCCCTCGCAGGAGTCTGAAGGAGACAGAGAAGCATGGCCCTTGGGAGCCCTAGGAGCCCGGGGCAGGATCCCATCAACTCACACAAGGTCGAGGATGGGCCCAGAGCCAGGGTCAATGCAGCTAACAGGGAAGCTACAGGCCCCGGGAGAGTGAAAGCAGCTACCTCACCTTTCACCGATTGTTCCAAGAACTCAGCGATCTGCTCCATATCCTTGGTGTCCAGGGAGGTGGCGAAGACAAACTCGCCCTCTGTCTCTACAAAGTTCTCCCGGAGCAGCTGCCGGCGCCGTGACAGGGGCTGACGGACCAGGGACTGAGGAGAGAGGGTGGGGCCGTGAAGGAAACAAACACATACAAGTCACACTGCTTGATGTGGCTTAGAGAAAGCCTTGGGAGGGAGGCACCAGGCTGTCAGGAGGACTGAGAATCACAGGCTCACAGGCAGCAGCCTAAAAAAGAAGCTGACGACCATGAGGTTGATAACTATCTTCTACATTAATCCAGGGGCCACCAATTTCTTGGTGAGAACCAGAAAGTAAATACAGCCATCCCTCTGCATCCATGGCGAATGGAACCCGCCCCCTGCAGACATCCAAGTCCATGGAGGCTCAAGTCTTACAGAAAGAGGCGTAGCTTTTGCACAAGACCTGATATCCTCTCAGATTCGCCAAAGCACCTCTAGGTGACTCACACCACTTCATACACAGCGTCAACGCTACAAACCCTACATTCTTTAGGGACCGATGACAAGAAAACCCTGCACACGTCCAGGACAGATGAAATATCTTTTTTCAAATGTTTTTAACCCAAGGTTGGTTGAGTCCGTGTTTGCGGAAGCCGAAGAGGCCAGGGCTGGCTGTGCTGCTGGCTCCTCACTGTCTCCCCAGCTCTGCGGCTTTGCTGCTGCAGACCCAGAGCAGGCAGTGGCTGGCAGGCTGCGAGCGGACGGGCGAGGCCCCGTCCCAGAGGAGCCGCACATGCGAACGCAGGGTGGACTAGGCCCGGCTCGCAGCTGCGGCTGGCGGAGCCTGAATGAGATGACGCCTGCGTGTGCGAAGCTCTGCTCACTTCTCCAAAACGAACTCACCAGCCCTGCAGGAACAATCAGCTTTAGGGCCCTAGTGGTCCCCACAGAACTGACCCAGTTCTCTATGGAATCCTGCAGACGAGGGCGGGCTTGCTCAGGGTCACACGGGCACGCTCAGTCCGACTTGGCACGCGGGCTTTGCCTCTCCTGGCATCACAAGGGCCAAGGACACAGACAGAGAAGCAGAGTGAGGAGGTAAGAAAAGAAGAGGCTAGGTGTGGCGGCGGTGCACACCTGTAATTCCAGAACTCTGGAAGGTTGAGGCAGGAAGATTATGAGTTCAAACCCAGCCTGGGCAACTTAGTGACTCAGCCGGACCCTGTGTCAAAATGAAAAAGGGCCGGAGGCATAGCTCCGTGTGAAGGCCCTAGGCTCAATGCCCAGTACTGAGAAAGAAAAAAAAAAAGAACAGGAGGAAAGGAAGGCAGGCAGGAGGGGAGAAAAGGAGAGGGGAAGAGAGAGGATGAAGGGAGGAAAGAAGGGAGAAAGGGAGGGAGGGAGGGAAGAAAAAGTCTCACATCACCTGGCCCCCAACCCACCAACCCAGCTGGCGGGATGGGTTCCGTTCTCCAGGCCCAGGGCCAGAATGCGCCCAGGACAGGGAACTCAAGATCCTGAACCAGTATCCTGAAACAACTGTTTTCAAGCTTGTCAAGCTCAGGACCAATTTTACACTCAGTACTGAGTCGTCACTCCAAAGAGATCTGCGTAGGTGGGCGACATCTTCTGATAGTTACCACATTAGAGATTACAAATGGGGAAGTCACAGAATAGGTTTTCATTCGCTTAAAAAATAGTAAGTAGAACATGCTTGCTCAGATTGTGTGCGTGTGTGTGTGTGGTACTAGGGATCCACCTCCGGGCCTCAAGCAGACGAAGCAACTGGCTCTACCACAAGCTATATCCCAGCTCCCAAATTTTTATGAAACACCCACATCTTTAAAAAAATCAGTGAGAAAATAAATAAATAAATAAAAATAAATAAAAAATCAGCGAGGAAAGGGGTGTGTGGCATTTTTGTGCATTCTTTTCACATCGGCTGCTATATTCGGATGCTGCACGGTGTGGCTCTGGCCGCAGACAGCGAGACCCGCCTTGTACAGATGTGAACCAGGAGGAGGAGGGCCTGGGGACCCCCAGGGTTCTGGGACCATACTTTGAGAACCACTGCCTCAGCACGGCCGCCCAGCTCAGTGACACGGTAGAGTCCAGAGCTGCCGGGCCGCCACCTGCTGGCTGCCCAGTCCCGGGGCCAGGACTCACCTCTCCATTGAGGAAGATGAGGTCGAAAGCGTACAGACACACCTGCACCTGGATCTCTGCTGCGTCCACCTCCTGTCGGGGCAGAACGGAACGAGAAGAGGGAGGAGGTGAGGCAGGGCCCTCTGAAGCCCTTGCTCTGTCCCTGGGGCAGCAGCCACTCTCCCATCGCTCTCTGCTTCTCAGCTGCGGCCGCACACCTGCAAAGGTGGCAGTGCCGCTGGTCCCAGGGCCCTAGTCTGGGCAGCACTCAGCTAATCCTGACCCGACTCTTCCTCCCCAGAGAGCTGCTCTCCTGGCCTCCCTGGCAGCTACCAGCAGCGGATCAAACATCTGACCAATCGGAGATAAAGGGGAAGCCTGCTGGGTGAAGGCACGGGGGCTCCTAGGATGGATGATCTATTATAGGAAAATCAGAGCTGCAGGACACACCCATACCCCACACACACCCGCCGAGATGCTGGGACGAGAACGTGACGACCTGACGTCAAAGTCACTTCGCCGAAGGCTGAGGGAATCCCACCCTGAGCGACACTGCCCTTCTGGGGACGAGGCAGGACCCTCAGCCAGACTGGGGGCAGAAGCCCACCCAGCAGAGGGGCTGATGCTACCTTCCGCTTGCGAGTGGTGAGCACTTGGAAGGGTTGGATCTGCTTCTTTTCCCGGTCCCAAGCCACAGCTTCTGCGTCCAGGATAAAGGATGTGACCGAGGGGAGTTTAATCTGAAAGCGAGGGAAGAGGCAGGGCTTAGGAGACGTAGACGATGAGGGGTCAGGAGACGGACAGGAGGAAACAAACTCCGAGGAACAAACATCTGTTTAAGCCATGCCTGAGTGTTATCTGCAGCCAAACGTATTCTGGCCTCCTCCCTAAGCCGCCCACTGCGCCGAGCCGGCCTGGCCGGACCTCAGCGGTCAGGGAAGATGCAGCAAATGCCCACCTTGGGGATGCGGCTGATGATGTCGGGGTACTTTCCAGTGTTGTCTTCCTGGCTCCTGCTGAAGATCTTCACCTCCCCGCCTTCCAGAACATGGATCTGCCGTGCAGGGGGCAGGAAGAGGAAGTGAGAGCTGAGCCCACCCGCCACGGCCCCTCCATTCCCTTTAGACCCCCCTCGATGGTGAGGGTTCAGGGAGCTGTGGGGAGGAGGGACTGGTGCAGAGACCCCAGCTCCTACCTCCCGGCTCCTCGGCACTTCCCGCCCTGCCAGTGTCACCACCTCCACTCCAGATCCCTGCTCCCTCCTGAGCACACCTGCCCCGCCCTGCTCCTGCCTGCTGCTGTCTAAACGCTATTGTGCTGTACCTATCAATCTGGCTTCTACTGCTGCCTTATTGAAATAGTCTGCTGCACGTATGGCATCTACATATATACGTTATCTCAAAAGCCATGTATATTTGATACTCCTATTGTGTATTTGTGTGTGTGCTGAGGGTTAAAGTCACATAGAGTGCAGCTGATGTGTCGCTGGCAGGAAGATCTCTTTCCTTAGGTTCTGCTTTGCAGTGATGGGATCTCGGCCTTATTTGTCAGGAGGTGCTGTCTACCGCTTTGCCTCAATCAATTTAACTGGGTTTGACCCAGTCAGTCACGGGAGTCAGAGCCACTCCAGGTGCTAGAAGACTGCACCACGCACAGCCGGAAATGCTGTGTGTACACATCTGAAATCATGAGCGTCAGGCCAGGTGGCACACACCTGTAATCTCAGCACCCGGGAGGCTGAGGCAAGAGGGTCACCGTCAGTTTGAGGCCAGCGCAGGCTACACAGTGCGTTTGAGGCCAGCCTGAACTATGGAGCAAGACCCTGTCTCAAGAAAAATCATGACCCCTGTTCCCAATCATTTTAACTTTTTTTTGACATTATTTTGAAGATCCACCTGTAATAAGATGTCTCTGGAATCCACTGCCTGTAACTGCCTCAACGCCCCACAGACACTGCCCACCTCCTGCTCCCTCAGCCCCCTGTGAGGAGCCTGGGATGGTGCTGAATCCTACAGGGCAAAGGGCCCACAACACATTTCCTATGGACCCCAGGAGGGGCATCACAGGACTCCCTTGCACAACACGGCAGTAGGTGTCACTGGCCAGCTCCTGGAATGGCTGCTATGGTTGACAAAGCTCGAGCCAGTGCAGCCAGCATTCCTGGACCTCCCACTACCCTAGGCCAGGACTTCCGGCAGTTCTGTCTTCCCTTAAACTGGTTATTATGGCACCCTTTGCAAGGAGAGGAAACTAAAGACCAGAGACAAGTGAGGCCAGCCAGGCAGCATCTAGCAGAGGCAGGGTCTGAGAGTCCTGGCCCAGCTCCAGCCTCCCCATCAGCTGAAGGGCCATGCTCGCCCCGTACCTGTGCCCTCTGCCCATCGTATTTGTACTCGCAGGTGAAGGCTGCCTCCTCAAAATGTTTCAGGACCTCACTGACACCCCGAGTGGGGTGGGCCAACATGGGCTTCAGAGGGACCCCTGGGGAGAGGAAAGAAGTGCGTCAGGGGAGACAGGTGGCAGAGGGAAGGTGCTAAACCAGAGAACTAGAGAGGTGAGGAGGCGACAGCTGCCCAGGGTCCACTCTGCTGTCCTCCACCGAATGAGAGAACAGGCCCAGCCACGCTTTAGGGAACTGGTGACCTTAAACCGCGGCCTCTCTGGCAGCCGGGTCAGGGACTGAATACACACAGGAGCGACTTGCAGTGTCCGGACACATCCTTACGGGCAATGTGGTCACCTCTCCTTCAACCCAGCGCAAGGAGGAAAGCACACACACGACAGTGACAATCTCAGATGGGAGAAGAACAAGACAGAGGAAGCTGAGCTTCTGGGGGATTCCTGGAGCAAAGGCTGCCCGCAGTTACGCGCAACAGCGATCCTATCTGGCCCAACCAACCGCCTTCCGCAGTGGCTGCTGCGTCTGCTTTGCCCACAGCCTGTTGACCGATTCCGAAGGGGAACCCCAAGGGGAGAATGAAAGGTCTTGGCACCACGGAACCAGATCCAGTCCTGGTGGACAGAGGGCTGGGAGGTACCTGGGCTCAGCCTGCAGTGCTCCGGGAGACGTTCCAGGCCATGCTCCAGCAGCACGGGGACGATTCGGTCCAGGTCAGGCACCTCACTGGGGTGGGGACGGAAACAGCTCAGGAGTCTTTCTAGAACTGGCACATCCTGAGAACCGTCTGCCTGCAAGTGCTCACGGGCACAGATCCCCGGCCCTCGCCCAAACCTGGCCTCCTGATGTCTCCGCCTAGCTCAGCTGTCACCCGTGTCCTCCCTCATTCCCTACACGCCACTCTGACTCCCCCTTAGTCTGGGCCCACCACTGCCGCTTATATGTTACCTCGAGAGCCGTCATTCTCCCCAGCTACACGGAGACCCACTCAAGGCTGTGCTGAAAACCAGTGTCCCAAAGCCAGACCCCACCCCCGTAAAGATTCAGATCTAACTGGTCTGGGAGGGTCCAAGCTTAGTACCTGGTGGAGCAGCACTGAGCTACTGCCCTGGCCTGTGAGCGCTGCAAGGCCTCAAGCACAGGTGTTCACCAGCAAGCGTGCCTGGCCCACTGCGGGTGCCCGCAGGCATGTGTGGCACTGCTCAGGGGCCTTTCTACCCCTGCCGGATCGTGTCTTGCTGTCAACAGCCCTAGGTCAGCCCCTGGCCAAGGTCTCTGCAGGTGGCTTGCTCCGGGGATGTTGTGTCAGTGACCGTCACGGTCCTCTGAGGATCAGTCATCAGCTTCTCGCTGGTGGCTCAAGGCCTTTCACAAGCAGTCCTGGCTGGAACTCCGGGCCTCCCAAGCCTGCCGCCCTCACGTCCCCTCCGTGTCCTCTTGCAGGTCACACCCTCTGCTGCCCACCACCTTCTCGGTCTGTCAGCTTCCTGTGCCTCGTACTCTCTTATCTATATCACCACCCCATGACACACCAGCCACTGTCCCATCCCAAGATCTTACCAGAACGTCTGCTTCAAGATCATGCCTTGTTCCTCCAGCCACGTCTTTCTGGCCTCTGCGGTCTTGCCCTTCCCAGCATCCACCACGGCTGGAGGGAATTCTAGGAAACGACCAAGGGCTTTGGGACAGGCCTTACCCCCAGCTACCCCCAGAGTGCACATGGGAAGTTTGCTGCAGGACAAGGAACACAGATGCAGCTGCCTGAGAAGCTTTCTCGGGGCAGAGGAACCCAGAGAGGCAGGAACTATGAGGGTAGGGGTAGGGTGTGGACTTCTGAGAAGGGAAGCCTCAGTAACAGACACAAAGAGGGGTCAAAGGCGCTCACCTTGGCCTGGGGGTGTGAGGCTCACTGCCTGGGAAAGGGAAGCCAGCACTGACTGCTCGGCCAACCCGAGGCGCAGCCGTCCACTCAGGGCCCTGGGAAGAAAGGGAGGAGCAGCCTGGCTGGAACCTTCTGGTTTTGTCCTCCACACCTTTCCCCTGCCTCCTCCCATCTCCCCGACCCCAAAGCCACAGCAACCTTGGCTCCCAAGAAATCTCACAGCCTGTTTAACAGGCGAGGCAACTGAAGTCAGCCAAGAACGACCACGACCACCAGCCTTTGGTGCTGTCCCTCCTCATCTCCACCGCCCTGAGAGTCACAGGAGAGCTGGGCCTCAAGCCTGGACACGCCGACTCTGGTGAGTGCGGTGGCCAAGACCTGACGCAGCACCGGCCAAACTACTTGGTTTGACCAAGTAGTCACCCATGGACCCAGCCCCTACACCTCCATCTCGGTCTGGAGTAAGAACAGGGTCTGCCTTGCAGGGCTGCCGGGGACTGAGGAGATGAGGCACTTGGTGTAGGGCAGGGCACCTAGAACGTGCTCCAGGACATGAGCAGGAAACTGTTCTGCTCCCATTTTCACAGCAGACACGTGGCTCTGCAGGGCAGACATCACTATATAATCAAGCACAGCTTGTTTTGTAGTTGAGCTCTGGGACCTTCCTCCAGGAAACACTACCACAGAACCACAGTCAGTCTCAAAGGAGAGCACACCCCATCTTCCTCCTCCCCGGGGCCTGTGCTTTTGATCGCGCTTTTCTCACCCAAGACAGGAGGGTGACCAGGTCATCAGCTGCCGAGCTCACCTACACCCTCTGCAGCCTCAGGGCCCACACTCACCTGGCGATGAACCGGGCTTCTGAGTGGCGGCAGGCAACAAAGAGGCCTTTAATGATGTCCATCTTCTTGGTCATGGACTGGAGAAAGAGAGCAAGAGCCAGAGCCTGGCGGTCACGGGACTTCTCCCTGCACGCCACTCCCACGGCCGCCGCTCTCAGGATACACAAATGAGCAGGCTTCCTCCCTCTTCCCTCCGCCCAGCAAGCATTTACTGAGTCCAGGCACCCGGCAGGCTGCGACTAGGGACTAGAACTGAACTCTAGAGACACCCGGACTTGAGAGAAGGAAGGATGGGAGACCCGAGGCGTCTAGACACGGTGACGAACGCCCTTCCCACTCACAGCGCTGCCGGTGAGCCGGGCGATGTCCTGGAACCTGGAGAAGACCCCAGAAGTGGAAAGAGGCGGCGGTGGCAGCATGAGTCTTTGGGTGCTGCGGCTGTTCTCGGCCACCAGCCCCACGTCGCCCTTCTCAACGGCCTCCGCCCGCACAGATTCCAGCTGCCGGCCTTGGGGTGAGGGGAGAAGCGGGGTGGGGGCGGTGAGGCACAGCAAGGCTGTGCCCCTTCCTTCCCGGGCGGCACGAGTGTGTTCCCCAGCTACATCCCTGTTCCTTTCCTTCCCCACTTGATTGGAACAGCTTGGTTCACGTCCGTCTCCTGTCAGATCAAGCGTAAGGAGCTCTTGGGACAGTCACAGTGTAAAGCAGCTGGACTCATGGAGGCATCTGGATGGCAAGTCCACGTGGGGGGGACTTCAGAGCCACAGTGTGGGACGAGACCACCCAGGAAGTGCACAGATAGAGCAGGCAAGGCCAAGGGACCGTTCTCCTCACTGGGCACAGACTCCTCTGGCAGTGGCCAATGAGCCTTTTATTTCTGTTGTTGTTACTTTGTTTTGAAGTCACCTGTTTAAACACATGGGAGATGCACTGGCCTTAACTGTCCAGAACTAGGTTACCCAGGGTCCCTAAGAGCAGGAGGCTGGGGAGGCAAAGAAACGAGTCACGGTGACAAGCTGGACCAGTGGCTCTCACACCATCAGAGCCAACATGTGGGTCCCCACAGAGGCCTCGTAACACCACACTTCTACATTGCACTGAATGCAGAGATAATGTGACCCATCCACGTGTACCATTTCAAGAGAATGCCCTACCTCTTAAAAAGGAAATAAAAATAAAGTAATTTACAGGGAAACAAGGGGGTCCGCCTTCTGACACCCGGCTGCTGCACAGAAGACACAAACGGTCAGAGCTTGTGCCCACAAGCAGAAGCACCGTGAACAAGACAGCCGCGAGAGGAGTGGTCAGCGTGGCCTGCGGTGACTCGGGCTGCCAACTACGACGCCATTCTCAAGACCTGGGCCCTGGGCAGCCACTGGGGTAGAGAGACGTGCAAGCCACACACTACTGTGCAAAGGCCGCGACCCAGAAGGGCAGGAAAGGCCGCATGCCCGAGACATTGGCAACTTTTTCTTACGTAAAGAAAACAAATCCTCCTTAAGCCAGTGTGTGGGCCCTGGGCTGTTGCAGCTAAGAGCAGACGGCCTGCACTGGGCCCGGAACAACGTCAGAGCACAATAAATGGCCCACGAGCGAGCGAGGATCTGAGTGAGTCGTCTTCCTCGGCCCAGGACCCCATCACTCTTTGCACTCCACCTCGGTCCTTTGTCTTCTCAGCAAAACCAACTCTCCCCTCCCTGAGGTCCACATGGCTTGACCCTGAGCTCCCAACATCCTCCCTGAGGAGAATGACAACTCCCAGAGCTTTGGTCATCTGTCCTGTGTTGACCACTCTTTAACCCTGGACCCTGACCAGGTCTACGGAGCTCCGGGCCCAGAGGAGGCCCACATGGAGGCTGCTGGTGCTGGGCCATGAGGAAGTTTAGCTTCCCCCACCTATGGCCCCCCCAGATGACTCCCGCACGCAGCAGTCAGCAGCGAGGTTCCAAGGGTATCTAGACTTCTCCACCCAGGCCCCTGCACTCTACAGCCCCCACCCTACCCCACCTCACCTCTGCCCAGCCTCCTCGTGGGCTTCCTGTCCTTCTGGTTCTCCATGTGGGGCCAGAGCCAACGCCACCCTCACCCAGTCACACTCACTCCTGGGCTCCTCAAGCCCTGATCAGCAGCCAGCGCATCAGCTGCTCCAGCCCACACAGGTCTGGGCTCCCTCCGTGAACCGCTGCCCATCCCACGCTCCCTCCACCACAGCACCCTCTTACCTGTGGCCTGGGCCACGGCCCTGAGAAGGACACCATCGCCGACGCCAAGCTCCAGGCCCTGCTGGGGAGGCCCAAGGCGGTTAAGGGTGAGGTAGAGGACAGGAAGCAGGTCTGAAGGGGACAGGGCCACCACAGAGCGCAGCAAGTTGCTCAGCGTCTCCACCATCCGGAGCCTGGAGGAGGGGACAGGGCTGTGACCATTGGCTCTTCAAGGTCAACGGAGGGTGTGTACGTATGTGGTGGGATGGGGTGGGTAGAAGAGGAAAGGGCAAAGTCCAGAAGAAGTCTGTGGCTCACATAATGGCATCACAGGGATGTCCTGGTTTTGATCACCGTCCTAAGCTGAGACAAGGCAATAACACAAAGGAAAGCTGGGCCAGATTAAGTGGGGACTCTTAAAAGGAAGGGAAAAAAGAGGAAATGGCTCCGAAACATTCTGAGGAGCAAGGCCTGAAGCCACAGGCAAAAATCACAGGACACCAGCATGACAGACCCTGAAGTCCATAACAGCGACACCAAAGTAACAGCCAAGGCATATGGAGAGTTTTCTACATGCGAGGCTGCTTTTAAGCATTTGTATACTTTAACTCACAGAATCCTCTCGGCTCCCCTCTAAGACAAGTACCATCATCACTCTCATCTTGCGGATGAAGAAACAGAGGCACAGGAAGATGACAAGACTCACAGAACGTCACAGAGATAGTAAGCATCAGGCTGAGTCACAAGCTCCCAGCCACTAAAATCACAGCTTCTGTCTGTGTCCCAGGTGGAAACAGCCAGGGTTGTCCCTGGTGAACTCTGATGGCTTCATTAAAAAGAGAAGCCGCAGGTGGCCTGCCTTGCAAGCACAAGGACCCAAGTTTAATCCCCGGTACCAAAAAAAAAAAAGAGAGAGAGAAGCCGCGTTTTCTTAGGAAGAAGGTCATCGGATAATTTTTTTAAAAGGTAAAAGAAAGGAGAAATGCAAAACTCTGACCTGGCAAATGCCGCAGTAACAGCTGTGGCAGGCGAGAGCCACCACTGAGCCGCAGCAAATGGGAGAGCACCCTGCCCACGGCCAGTCACTCAGAGACTCAGCACGGGTCGGAGTGGAAACAGACTAAGGACCGAGGTGAGAGCATGCTGGGTCAGGGTGGCCACACATCTGGGGAGTGTCCAGCAAAGGTCAGAAACACAGACGGTTTCTGTGACGTGGAAGTGAGGCAGCCACAGCAAGGTGCCCGGGATGGCCTGGCACAGGCTGGAGTCTCCCTCAGCAGGAACCCACCCCACGCCACTGTGACATCAGACCTCCGGCCTGGTGCGCTGTTGGAGAATAACCGTCTATGGTCCTACACTGCTGTGCACCTGGCACTATTTCCCAGAAGCCTTAGGACGCTTACACAAGTATGAAATTAATGGGAGGAAGTTTGCAGAGAAACAGTAAATCCCCACAGGATACACATCAGGTGCAAAGGGGAGATCACAGCGAAGACACCTGCCACATAGCCCTGGGGCCGTGTGATAAGCCCCAAAAGGACACAGTGAGAGAGCATCGCTTCTGTGGTCACCCGAAACTAATCCTGAGGGAAGGCGGCACAAACCCCCAGCTGAGGGACAATCCACATCACCCGACCCCTCACAAGGGCAGAGGTCATGAAGGACAAGGATAAAATGAAGACTCGTCTGAGATACAGGAGACAAAGGGCAGGCCGGTTAGACATAACGGGTGGGGAACCTGGACTACAAAAGGGGGTGGAAGTGGGAGCATCCAAAGGCTGTGGGTCACTTAATGCATCACCTAGATGTCGGTCTGACCACTGGCCCAAACTGAGACAAGCCATTAACACGAAGGGAAGCTAAGCCAGGGTATGTGGGCGACACTGTATTAATTTTGGAGAGGGGGACAAGAACCAAACTCAAGATCTTGCGCTTACCAGGAAGGCACGGTGCCACTGAGCCACATCCCCGGCCCATCTACATCATTTTTGTTCAATTTCCTATAATAAGTCTAACATTATTATTATTATTTGAGGGGGTACTGGAGATCGAACTCGGGTCCTTGCGCTTGCAAGGCAGGCAGCGGAACCACTGAGCTAAATCCCTGGCCCAGTGTAATACTATTTTTAAAATGTGATTGAACCCTCCGTCTTGGATTATGGGGTCAGGGCAGTCACCTGCTGTTCTCTGAGTCGATGATTGCTAAGCTCCTCCTGGAACTACATCCTACACCATGTTGTTTATTTCAGTTTCCACAGCAAATGTGAGACATACAATCTTTTACTCGTGAAGAAACTGAGGCTCGGAGAAGTCAGGTCACCTGCCCTCAGGCACAAAGGCAGGAGCAGCAGGGCCAGGCCCAAAGTCTGTCCGTCCCCTGCACAGGATCCTGGCCCAGCCGCTGCCCCCTCAAGCCCCTCAGCCTGGTTCTCAAGCCCTTCCCACGCCCTCTGTGACCTGCCTGCCCCCTCACCACAAGAGAAGTTCTCAAACATCCCTCAAAAGACCTACTTGTAAGAATAAAGCATGAGCTTTACTGCTCTACTAATGCCGGGGAAATGGAAAATGATACACGTGCAGGATTCCAGAGCAGATGAAACAAGCCGGGATCTATCTAAACTGACACAGACAGATACGATAACAAGGTGAGTGCTAAGAGCAGGCAGGAAGGAAACACACGTCCCAGGAAAACATGGACACTAACCAGGCACGCGGGGGGCGTCGGGGGAAAGGGAGGGGCAGGGCCGTGCGGTAGCAGTGACGGTAACGTGTTGCCGACAAACACCAGATCGAGCAGCTCCGGGCACCGAGGCCGGCACAGCCACCGGGAGTGGGGGCTCTGCAGGGCAAGCTCAGGGAGAAAAGGGGATCCTCACCTAACCAAGACTCAACTTCCTTTCACTGGCACTAAATAAGACCAAACCACTCGGTGATCGAAGTGAAAATGGCCACACATTTTCTGCAGGTCCTGGCCCCACAGAGCTGGCTGATCCTTGTGCCCTGGGCCGACCAAGGCAGAACCGACACTGGGGGTCTTCCGAGGCTGGCGGAAGACTTTTGTGACTGGCCTGGGTCTGTGCACTGTGGTCCTGTGCGTGAGGGGGACGGAGGTGAGGGTGAAGGACAGGGCAGCACGGGGAGCGATGCACCACAAGGACAGAGCCAACGGCACCTGCCTCACCCCCGCCCAGCCCTAACTGATTACCGAGCAGAAACCTCTTCAATCTTCTCAAACGTCCGGGCCACAGCCAGGTAAGGGACCCTGGGGAGGAAGACACGACAGAGCCATCTGAGCACCCACCGCCCCCCCCACCTGTCCCCCACAGCTCCCTGGGCACAGCTTCCCAACACCTAAGAGCAGAGAAGTTGCGCTGCTCCCTGCCCTGGGCTCGCTCCAGCCCCTTCCACACTCAGGACCTCGAACAGATTTCCCAGGTCCTCCAGCTGGGGCCCCAGTGAGAGCTGCCCAGGGTGCCAGGCACTGGAGGAGGACGGTGCTGGGAAGGCAGGAGCCTCACTTCTGGCCCTGTCTCCAGCAGGCATCCTCGATGGGGTGGTAGTTATTCTTGGCAGGATTGTAGCTTACTGGGTCCAGGGGTCTGAGGAGGCAAAAGAGAGATCGGGTTGGGTAGAGCTCTAGGGCAAGAAAAGTCATTCCGCCAACGAGCGTTTCCTGAGCACCTACTCTGTGGCAGGCAGTGCTCGGACCCAAGGGCAGTGACCCTGAGCTGTCACCTCTCTGACGTCGTTTCCGACCACTGCCCCTTCGTTTATGCTCCTCCGGCCACACAGGCGCCTCACTGTTCCCTCAATGTCCACACGCGGCCCAGGCCTCTACCCTTGCTCTTCCCCAGGGCTCACCCCTCTCCTCCTTCAGGCCTTTTGCTCCAATGGCACCTTCCCCACGCGGAGACCTGCGGCCTCTCTTCCCACTGCTCCACTCTCTGTGACAGCGCGTATTAGCATGTGACACATGGCATAGTTTGCTTAGATTTATTCCATACCCATTAAAAAAGCAAGATTTTTGTGTAATTTAGTCTCTGCTGGATCCCCACACTTAAAACCATTGTCTCTCTGACAAGTACTTGAATAAATGGATGAATCTATAAGGGAGGAAGAAAAACGTCAAGTACTCCATTCTTTGTTTGTACACTGCGTGGGCGAGAACAGCTGGACACATCTCTGGCCTTCCTCAAGGGAAGGAGCTTGTGGTCTGCTGGGGGAGGCTCTTGGCCATGAACAGGACATAAAAGAAAGCTTGTCCCAGTGCTGGGGACACACGCCGGCTCTGAGAGCGGGGGAGAGACGCCAGACTTCGCCAAGCGAAAGCGCCACGAACAGGGTGGCCGGTGGCCGGAGTACTGAGAGGCAAGGACAGAGGGAGCAGGGAGGAGGCTGCCAGTGTCAAGCGGCTGAGACCAACTGAGGTGGGCAGGGCTGGCTGAGGAGGGTCCCAGGAGCTCAGTGCTTCCCTGGGTGCTGGGAAACCACACGTAAGTTTTGGGCAGGACAAAGATGGGGTCTGACCTCCTTACTTTACAGAACCTTCATCTACCTACCCATCTATCCAATTGGGCATTCAATAACTCTTCATAGAAGCCTCCTGGGTACACACCAGGTACTGGGGAAACAGGCCCAGACATCTTTTCAAACAATCAAAACAATTACAGTGAAGCAACTGTCTAACAACCTGTCTGATGTCCCTGTGGACATCAAGAGGTCCAGGCACAGAGGGGCGGCTCTACAAGATCTACCCCACAGGGCTGGGATGTAACTCAGTGTCACCGCCTGCCTCGCAAGCGCAAGTTTGATCCCCGGCACCAAAAACAAAACAAAACAAAAGATCAACTCCACAGGATGCCCAGGCTGGCACAGAAGAGATGTTCAAAGAAACCCCAGTGCAGAGCTGACACCTCTGCTTCTGAGCCTGGCGCATTCAGGGTGATGTGAACAGAGGGTGAGTGGGAGCCGTTGGCCACAGGAGCTTAAGATTTTTGTCCTGGGGGCACTGGGGAGCCCTCTGAGGTTGGGTCAACTGTGGATGATCCAAAGATACCCCCAGTCCCTAGTGGGGAACAGACAGGCTGAAAGGCCAGAGCCCAGTGGTCAGGGAAACTCCACCCCCAGAACTCAGACTGTTTTTATCTGACACATGAGCTACAAACAGCTTTGCAACTAGAGGTGCATGTGGCTTGCAAAAACCAAAATATTTACCATGTGGCCCTTTCCAGACCATCCCCCACCACATCCCCCAAAAAGAGAAAGAAAATTGGTCAAGCCCCGCCGGAGGCGGAAGCCCCAAGCTAGACTGGGCCACATTCAGAACACACCCGTCGGACCGGACACTAACTCACCCCTTGGCCTCCTCCCTTCCTGGAGGACCTGACTGCTCTTCTATCACTTCCGTTTTCACTGCCGGCTTCCGGGGCACTGGGAACAAAGCCAGGACACGGTGAGTGGAAGATGTTTTTCTGGATGGCCCGGACCTCCCACCCCTGTCCACCCAGCATCACCCCAATCTCAGAAGTGCCGATTCCCCGGGGCAACAGGTGCCAAGCAGGAGAGAGGAGTTGGACTTCTACGGAGTGGGACAGCAGAAGGGAGCGAGGGCACGTTCTGGAGACCCCTCCGCCTCCTGCCCATGTTGTCCCGGGAGACGCAGAGGGAAGGAACTCACTGAAGAAACTGCTGAGGGTCCTGGAGCCTCTGGGGCCAGGCTTGCTCTGGTCCTTTTCCTGTGGCTCCTGCTTCCCCGTACCCTTGGGTGCGGAAACACTTTCTGTCTTTGTTGGGGTCTCTGCTTCTGAAGTGAGAGAGGGCAGAGAGTGAAGCAAACCACCTCCACCTCTAGATATTTTTGTTTTTTAACCCCAGGGTCCTCAGGCCGTGGATGGAAAAATCTGGCCAATGCTTCCCTTTCCACTTCTGTAACCTAAATTTGGATCCTCTCTGCCTGGTGTTTACTCATCAGTACATGGAACCCAGGAGTTAGCCTGAAACTGCAGACTCGTAAACAGTGGTAGGAAGAAGTCTTGGCCAATCAGAAGGAAATATTCCCACTTCCGCAGTTGGAGAAAATCAGATAGAATATGCATCCTTAAAACCGTCCCTGCAAGTACCGTCTCTGACACAGGATTCTCACAGGTTAACTCAGCTCAGACACCCAAGATAAGAAATCACGGCTCAAAAGGAAATAAGGGAAGAGAAAAAAAAAATGAGAAAATGAAAAAATGAAAATAAAGTATCTGTAAACAGGGAAGGGAGGAGGGGATGAAGGGAGGGCAGGGACGAGGGGAAAAAATGAGAGCCAAGACCTGTCGTGTAGAGGTACAAGACCCCAATGATGAACGTACTGTACTGGATACCTAAAATGTGCCAATGAACTCAAGGAGAAAAAAAGAAACCACTGCTCAGTTAACACCATTTAATTATCACCTATCATGTCTGAGCTATAACACTTGGCAGTACTGGCTTTCCTCTTTTCCCACACGCATAGGAGAAAGTAACTGATTAAAAAACAAAACAGAGCAAACAAAAACAAACCAACCATGACACCAAAGCCTAGAAGCCCCTCTATTCCCACTGAAGCAGTTAGTTAAGAATCTACGCCCACACCTGGTTGGAACCGAGTACCCCTTAAAGACTCGGACGGCAGAGTCAGAGAGACAGAGACGGTGCTGGGGGGGCTCACCGGGGGGCTGCGGGGGCGCAGGGGGTGTCGAGGGCGGGTCCCTGTCCTCTGCTGCCGCTCCAGTCTCTGTGGGGCTTCCTCCTGGCGTCTCTGCTTCTGAAGAGACAGAAAACCCAACCAAGACTCGCTCTGACCCCCAGTACGGTTCTGCTCCGGAGATCCTCTGCGCCCCTTTATTCCTTTTCTTCCGATCCAGCGTTTCCCTCCACATCTGTAGGTTCCACTCTTGCAGATTCAGCCAACGACTGACGGGAAATATTTTTGAAAAACTCATCCGTACCACACAGATACAGATTTCTTTGGTCACTGCTGCATAACGACGACAGCACTTCCGTTCCGTTATGTACTGTAGATAATCTAGAGGCTGCTGAGAGGGCACGGAATGGCATGGGTTACACACAGACACTACGGATGCCAGTTTGTTTATGGGACTTCATATGCTTGGTTTCTGCTGTTCTTGGGGAGTCCTGAAACCTTGCTCCCACAGGTACCGAAGGACTGCAAAGCGACAAGAGGAGCTGGAGCCAGGCGGGACCTCGAAGGGAATCCGATCCCAACGTTTCCAGGTGCAACTGAGACACAAATGCCATCTGCTTTTTATAAGTTATTCTCAGAATTATTCGCATCAAAATGTAATGTGAAAGGGTCTGAAACGGATATAGCAGCTTGCTATAGGTCCAAAGAAAACAAAATTTAACGTGACTGAAAAAAATCATACTACTGGGATTATCATAAAAGTTACAAACGCTAACTCGAGAAATATTTGCCTTGTCCTCGTAACCCCGGACACTGACAATGGCTAAGATAGAACAATTTACAGCCAAATTTGTTACTGACTAAAAATTGCCGACAGGAAATAAGCTGTGTGTGGGAAAATCAAAACTACCCAAATGCAAATCTGCAGTGAGGAAATTGAGCCTAAGGAAGATGTTTTCTGAAACAAATAAAAAATGTGGCTGTGCTGAAGGCTGTGCCTGGTGGAAACTCACACGGGCCCCCGATGATGAATGGATCTGGTCTTCATGGGTTTTTCAAGGCGCAGGGAAGGCTGGGAGCAGCTGCACGGAACACACAGAATTCTACATTCTAAAAGGAAACCCAGAGACATCTGCTGGGCACTCTATGAACTGTTAGCTCAAGGTGTGTTTCGGTATAGACGGCCCGGGGTACCAGAGGATTCCATATCCTCCGATTTAACCAACCGTGGAACAAAAGCACTCAAGAAAATAAAAATTTGCTTGTGTTACTGAGCACAAAAGAGTTTTTTCCACGTCATCGCTCCCTCACCGGCACAGTGTAACAATTCTCAGAGCCTACGGTGCAGTGTTAGAAGTTACCTAGAGAGGACTCAGAGTGCGCAGGAGAACAAGTGCAGAGTGTATGCAAACGCTGCACCAGTCTTAGGCCTTGCGCACCTACAGATCTTGGTACCTGAGGGGACCCGGGAACTGACCTTCCCCAGACGCAGAGTGACCACTCAGGCGCAGGCCCTGCAGTGTCGCTGCATCTCTGTACAGCTAGGTCTTCGCTGACGCTGTGATAAAAATCATACACTGCAAAAATGGACAAGGACTCGGGGATGGGGAGGGCAGTTTTCTGTTAGATTCCACAGCAGTACCTAGGGCACACCGCCGGGCAAGTCGGAACGTCTGAAGACAGAGACAAATACAGGTACTGTCTTTTCTCTCACTGTGCGTGTACTATTTAACAGCTGTTTAAACATAACTACTCAACAAACGGAACTGTTGGTATCGGCCTAAGAGCACTGCGGAAATATTACTCAATCACTAAGGGCACTGTGAACCAAGAAAGTCCTGGAAACCTCTACTTTCTAGTAAAATGTAGAGGAAAAAAAAAAAAAGAAACCTCCTGGAGGAAAACGTCTCTAATAAAACAAACATCAAAACAGAAGACAGAAATGTGAAAATACACATGAATTAATACTGAATTAAGGTGGCCAAACCAAAGTACACTTTCGTAAGGAGAGTCGTGTGTGAGTGTAGAATTTGGATGTGTGAGTTCCCAGAGGTCCAAACACCCAGGCCTCCTCCGCTGCCCTTCCAGAGGTCTCCCACGCACACACACGCACAGGCACGCCCCTCCTGCTCTCTCACCGTTCTCCTCCTTCCTCCTCTTCTTGGCTTCTCTGTCCTTGTCCTCACTCTCATCTTCCAGGATGTCCTGAATTACTCGTTTCGGGAGCTGCTTCCGAGCTGGGGAGGCAAAGGGCTCAGTGTTGCTTACCTTGCTAGTCTATTTCCGCCCCAGTGAGGTCAGACCTCCTAATGGGGCCCCTGCAAAGGTCTGAGGAGCACCCCACTTCTGCACCTGCCCATGGCCACCGCCCCATTACAGGTCTTATCTTTGAGGCCCTACTTTTGCTTCCTGGCTGTGTGACCTTGGGCAGGTTACTCAACCTTTCTGTGTCTCCTCCTGCTTCTGGAGCATGGAAAAATCATGGATGTGCTCAACACAGTACCTGACTCTAACGAGTGTTCTCAGTGTCCCACATGCACCTCTGGGATCTTACTATCTCTGTGCCTTTCAGACAGCTTTTCCAGAACGTCAGAGGCCTGGAGGTAGCAAGAAATCCATGGGTCATGGCAGCAATGGCGGTAAGCAATGGCAGCTGGTGTATGAAAACTGCAGCCCCTTGAGCCTGGGGGTAGCTCAGGGGCATGCGTCCACAGCGTCCCCAACCTCCCCACAGACTTGTACTCCAGCTGCCCACCACGGTGGCCGGCTGACAACACATCGTGTGGGGGCTGCCAGCTCCTCCTGAGTCACCTGTGTGCCCCCACAAACAGCCTGCATTTGAATCCTTGTTTCAGGACGCCAGACTCTGCCTCTAAAAGATTCCAAACAGGTGTAGAACTCATTAAAAGGCAGCTCCAAGCCCTTTCACCAGCTCCTCCCTGGTCATCCAGCCCACGGCTCCTTCACACAGCCAAGTGTGTCACACACCTAGGACACAGCTCCTTTCCTCTGAAAGGAATTCTCTGACACAGCCCGGGGCCCCGCAGCGTCTACCTGAGCTCCTAACACGCCTGGCCCGTTACTCATTGTGACCTCCTGTCTCTCAGGGCTGGCCAGCCTCTCTCGGTGCGCAGACCTTCCTCGGCTCCCAGCAACCCCAGAAGGAAGCCCAGGCTCCTCTGCTTGGCGTACAAGGCCTTGTGCAAAGCGCCATGCACTATTAAACTCGCTCCCTGCTTCTTGAAACACATTTTCTTCCCCAGAAACACAAAGACGTGTAAGAGTTGTCAAATGTGCTGTACCGCTCCTACCTCAGCTTTACAGGCTACTCCTATCTATAAAACTCTCTACCTGCCAACACAGCCGGTCCTGACCCACTTCTGAGACTCAGCTCGGCTGTGAGCTCTGGGCCGCCTGACTCCAAATTCCTAGAGTAACTCCTGCTACCAACTCTGCCCAATGGAGACATCTGGTGAACCATATATGGGATCTTAAAGCTTCTAGCAGCCAAATTAAAGAGGTGAACTTAGTTATGATCATGTATTTTACTAAAACTCCACATATCCAAAATATACCAAAATGTACTCAATGTGAAATTACCAACGTTCTGTCTCTTAAGCTGTCTGCAAAATCTGATGCACTGACTGCACATCTCAACTCGGACACAAAGTATTCATCAGCAATACTTTATCTGTTTGTTGGTTTCATAAAATTTACAGTTAAAAAAGAGTAGACTCACACATCCGGATTGTTCTAAAGCAACTGCAGCCCTCACTAAATCTAGTGGTTTCATTAGGTCTTATCCAAAATGCTTGAACTAGAAGCATTTTAGAGTTCAGAGTTTTTCAATTTGGGGACATTTGCACAGGCCTTACCAGCTGGATTGATGTAAAGCTTAAGTTTTGATTTTAGACCATTTGATTTTTGGATTAGAGATTTGCATTAGGGAATTCAACTTACACTGGCTTTGTACCTGAAGCTCAGTCATCTGCCCAAGGTCACACAGCTGGTGGGTGGTAGTCGCGCTCTGAGCCATAATGCTAAGGTCAGGGCCGCAGTGAGGACAGCCACGTCACGCTCAGACCCAAGTGGAGAGACCGATGGCAGCTGAAGGGGCAGGGGGCAGGTGTCCTTACCTGTGAGACGCTTCGGGATTCCCGACGGGGAGACATCCATGGGGGAGGAGTCCGAGAGGGAAGGGCTGTTCTTGGGACTCGCGGCAGGACTGGAAGGGGACCCCTGTGGGGACCCTGGCCCAGGCTTCTGGAAGGGTAGAGAGAGCAGTTCCAGAGTGAGGGACGGAGAGACCACCCAGAGATCCCAGCTCCCAAACACTGAGCAGGAACTCTGAGCCAGTCTCTGTGCCTTCTCTTCTTGCCAGGCCAATGGTTCAGTCCCCTCTCAGCTGCAGGCCAGCGCTCCGTCTGCCAGTGTAGCTTCGTGGCCCCAGATCGTCTGTATAATGCACCTCAATAACAATTCTGCTTCCGCAGGGAACAGAATCTTTGATATTTAGCTATGAATACCTGCACACTGGCCCAAATAACAACTCTTTCCCAGCTTCCCTTCCCTGCTTGCAGCTAGTGTGGTCCTGGACCTCAGCTCAACACCACGAGGTAAGAGGAAAGCGATGCAGGTTCACGTTGGTGCTAACAAAGTCACTTACGTGTGGAACGCCCTCCTATTTCTGGCAGCCCAGGCAACGTTCACTCTGACCAGGGCATCTAGGGACAGCAAGCACCAATACCAAAGGGACTCGGTCTCTGAGTGTGTGGTTCTGCCACATGAATCCTCCAATTTTTATGCTCATTAGAGAGAAAAATAAACTTCTATCTTGCCTGAGCCACTGTTACTTGTGTCTTGGTTTCAACTACTAACTACCTTACAGGGCCCTGTCCTGGTTAAGCTCCAAACTCAGGGCTCTCCGTTCTCCCCTGCAATGGGCTAGGACTCGCAAGCCCATTTCGTGCACTGACGGTCACTGCTGCATCAGGCAGTGCCAACATGGGGGCACCGGAGGGAGGACAAAAATGGAGGTCAGCAGGGTTTCCTGGGCCAGCTGCTGGGTCCAAACGACACTTTCTCTACCACTTGCAGGGCCTGCTACACAGGACCGCATCACAGACACCTCCTGCCCAGTGCCCCTCCCACAAACATCTGAAGAAAGAGAAGGACAGAACAAAGTGCATCTGGGAAAGCAAGCAGGGAAGAGTAAGTGGCCGAGAAGAGGGTGTGACATTGCAGCGGAGAGAGCCAGGAAAGATCTGAGGTAAAATGAAAGATGGGGCAGGCAGGGAAGAGAAAAGGATCACGGGGCCTGAAGGTGTCCATAAGGACGGTCTGCGGCCTGAGCTGGAATGCCAGAGGGTCTGAACAGGGCAGTGACAAGACCTGACATCCCCACACATCACTGCACAGGCACCAGGTGACTTTTAAACAGGAAGAAGTGGTCTGTCTGATGCATTGGAGGAAAGGAAAGGTCCTCCACCCACAGCAAAGACTGCACCTACACCCAAGCCCTTATCTTGTGCCAGGCAGGATTCTCTGATCGGTAGTGAACTGACTCATGTGGTCTTCACAGCCAACTTGGGAGGCGGGTGTCACCTGTACAGGTGAGGCATGATGAGGTCAAGGGCCTGGCCCGCACCTCCTCCCAGTCAGAGGCAGAGTTAGGACGCCACGGACCAGGCCATCTGCTTGAGGGCACAGCCACTGCACCTGCCTGCCTCCTGGGAAATGTGCAGAGCCCCGCCAAGCAGGGAGCACCCAGCCCCACAGGCTGTTCCTGAGAAAGTGAGCGGCCACAGGGACCTACCTGGTCTTTGGTGGGGCTGAGAGCTTCATCTTCCTCCTCCCCTTCACTGCTCAGGACCTGGACAACCTTCCTCTTCGGCCTCTTCACTGGAGACTCACTCTCAGGCACCACTCTTTTCCGCTTCTTCAGGGCCACCCTGGGAGGCAGGGAAGAGCAGGTGTGCGACAGGCAGCCCGGGAGCACTGTGCCCAAACACTCCAGCTCCTGTGCCACATTTTATTTTTTTCGAGCACACAGTGGACATTTTCTAGGTGCCTCACTCCATGTGCTCTTTACTCTGATTTCAATTTTATTTTGTGTAGTAATGAGCACATTTCAAAATTTTTTTTAATTTTCTATTTGGAGACAGGGTATCACTAAGTCACCAAACTGCCCAGCTGTGAGAGGAACGTCCCATATCCTGGCACCCTTACGTACTCTGGAGGGGGCTCTGTCTCTCTACTGCTGTTTGTCTCCTTCTCAGGCTTCTTTGCTTTACCCTCTTTCGTGGGGTAGAAAAATGACCTGCAGGAGAAAAGAGAAATGATAAGACCACCGATGTTCCTCTGACGCAGTGGTGGCGGCCCTATGGCATGCACGCCACAGGGGGTATAAAGAGCCCTCTCTGTCCACAACAAGCCCCAGTCACTCCAGCATTGCCCCGGTAGCCAGACATCAACTAACAGGGCACACTAGGGGCGGTGCTGGCACTGTGCCTAAGTAAGTGGGTCTTGGGCTGCAGTTTGATCTCGGTCTCTAAAAGGTTTGCCTTTACTGCTGTGATCTATCTTGCACCCTTCAACTCCTGACACGCTTTCCTAACCCAGAACAGGTATCATTTTTTTTTTTTTTTTAACCTTAAGAAAAAAGGACAAGTTTGAGGACAGTCTGGGCTACACAGCAAGACCTGGAAGAAGACAGCTATGACCAAGATGAAGATGAGGAGGGGAGGGGGAGCAAAGAAAATAGAAAGCAACTAAAAATGCCTGTCAGCCATGGTAGACTATGCTGAAATTTCTCAGAAAGATGCAACCCAGGATTTGTTTAAGCCACTGCCTCCCAGGCTTCTGTGGCAGCACGTCCAGGCCTGGCTCTGTCTAGCATCTGCTCCCTCCTTCTGTAACGGCCCCTCTTGGCATGCGTCTTCCCAGAGCTCTCCTTACACAGGATGTGACCAGTCTGTCCTTCTGCCTATGAGCAGACGTGGGCACGTGACCTAGGCGTGACCAATCAGTGCACTGCACACCTGAGCCCATGGTGGAGGGCTCAGAGACATGCGGGAGGCTCAAGCTGAAGCACGACTCTAAATATCACTGGGACCGCTGAGAAGGAGGCAACCCGTGTCCCCTGGCACTGCTGGCCTGAGAGTGACAACGTCAAAGGCAGTGGAGCTGAACAACCAGAGATTGACCCCCAGTGACAAAGTTCAGATGAGTGGATCCAACTAAGCTGGGGCTATTCACTCGTTTCCAACTGTGTAAACCAAAGAATCCCCTTTGTTTTTTGCCTAATGCCAAGTGGCATTAGTGTGGGGTCTCCTAACCGAGGCATCACCGCCATGGAAGCTGGAGCCTTCCTTCTTTGTTGGGAGACTGTCCTGGGCATTGAAGGCCATCTGGCACATTCCTGACTTTTCCCTGACAGATGTTGATGGCAATGACAAACTCTATGCCCAAACTCTAAACTCTATGTGGCAACCAATGTCTCAAGATATTCTGAGAACTGCCAGATACCCCGACCCTGGGGCGGCGGGGAGGCTGGAGCACTTCCGGGTGAAAACCACTGGACTAGGGTTTTTGTCCCCTGCAAGCAAAAATTTTTTGGTTAATGTACTACCTGTCCGCCACATTCCACCTCCCGTTTACCACACTACTCAATTCCTGGAAATTCTAATGTGAAGTCTAACTTACAAACTTAATTTATTTCAGGAGAGGCACAGGTTTGAGGCAAAAAGAGGAGGAGTGCAGTAAGGACACGGGGTACGCAGAGTCCTTACATGATGCTCCGCTGCATGGTGGCGTTACAGTTCTCCCTTCTGGGTCTATTTCTCTCGTCACCTGCTCCTGAAACAAAAAATCCAAAGAGTTGCTGAGGATACTGTTTGTACTCTACAGGGGATCAAACTGAGCAGATACACAAACACCCAAACACCTGAGCACGCACAAAACTTGCTGAAAACTGGGCAAGGTTCCTAGTCCAGTTAAAAATATTATATTGATGCCAATTTCCTGGTTTTGATAACGGACTATCGTTGTGTAAGATGCCACCACTAGAGGAAGCTGAATGCACTCATTTTACAAGCTGGAGTCTGTAATTATTCCAAAATACAAGGTGAACAAACAGAATAAAGGAGCACTCCGTGTGCATTGGCACACAGAAAGAAACCTTAGATATATTAAGTAAAATCTTAAGTAATAGGAAGCAATGAAGTAGGCAGAACAGTATATGATATGCTACTGATTTTGTAAGAGAGGGAAAATAATATTCCCTGTTATCTGCAAATGGAAACTCTGGACAGCTAACCCATTACCTCAAGTGGGAAGAGAGGGGTGCACACTGCATTTTTTCATAGGATAGTGGTATATCCTGACTTTAATTGTCCACCATGTAAACGTACGCTGTTCAATTTTTTAAAAACTACTAAATTTCAGCTCTAAGTAACTCTTCTAGAACACCCACCGCCAGTCTCTTTGGGGACTGCCTTGCTTGCCTGGGCACCTGTGCCCTTCTCAGTGCTAGGCTGGAACATAGATCACTGCCACCTCTGGACCCCTCCCAGAACTTCCTATAAGGGACGCTCACTTTTTTGATCCTTTGTGTGGTTAATTGGCACGTCTCTCATCACACATTTTTTGTGTTCTTTTGATCACGTTCAGAATTTATCTTCTAATCCTATGCTGTGCCCTCGGATGGGGGGTGGTCTACGCCCAATTTACTTGCTTCTCCCAAAAATTATTTCCTCCAAATCAGACATTCTTCACACCACTTTTGCAATTTCTGTCATTACTGGGTGACCTGAATTTTCATTGAATTTTTTTCTGTAAGATTCAACATTTATTGTAGACAGCTAAGCTAGGTGGATATATTAATTATATAACCAGACAGGTTCCAGCCCTCTGGGAGTCAATACAGAAGGAAACTGGGGCCTATTTACTGAAGGGCAGGATTTAAAAAAGAGGAACTACTACATTCACATGCTTCCCCTAGGGATGAACAGCAGTGACTGATATCTACACAGGTGTCCCAGCACCTGGGCGGGGGCAAAACTTCCCCAGCCTATTCCTTCCCAGAAATCTTTATTCATTTTGCTACCTGACTTGCTTCGGCCTTTGATCCCCATTTAATCAATATTACCTAAGTGACTACACTTACTGTAATCTTACTGGTTGACCCTAGTTTTGTCTCACCTCATATCCACCTTGTGATTTCCCAGTGGGTCAATATTACCTAAGCAATTATACTTTTAATTTTATTAGTTAATTCTAGCTTCGTCCCACCTTGAACCTGCATCTTCTCGTGACTTTGCGCAAAACATCTTTGAGAAGCAGGCTTGGCAGGCAACCCACTTTCCAGGGCAGGAGCTGTCTTGCCCTCAATAAATTCTTCATACTCTTAATCTCCATTGTTCCTAGAATTCATTCTTTGATTTTGGAGAACACGAACTCAGCATTTTGGTTATCTAGCAGGTTGGGAGTTGTATTTCACCTATTTGAATTATTTGGAGGTCCATATATCATATGTCCTGTGTCACTGAGGTGTTTAGTAGGTACTATTACTCCAAGTGCCTTAAATCCTATCACAAGTCATTATAGCTATTTTGTAAGTACAGAAATTTGGGGACAGACAGGTTGAGCAACTTATCCAAAGTCACACAGCCTCATAGATCACAGAGCCAGGATTCCAAGCCACAGGTTTAGCTCTAGAATCCATGTCCCCAAATGCTAGCCCTTCTAAGGGACAAGAAGGTAGAGGTTTGGGATGAAGTAGTTCCTAGATTTCACGGTTACTGAGATGATGTCAACCAGAAAGAACATGTTATATTATCCAACCTCCCAACAACTTGTTGAGGTAACAGTCTCAGTTTTTATCCTACTTTAACAAGGAACTGAGGCACAGGAGGTATAAACTGCTTGTCTTAAGTCACAGAGCTCCTAAGTAGTAAAGGGAGATTTGATCCCAGTAGCAATCTACCTCCACATCCCAGAACTTACATCAACAAAGAAATTTCTGTCATTCTCCTAGAAAGAAGAATAGCATTATTTGTCAGACATCGAATATGGTGATTAAAAAAAATACAAAGAACAAAACCTAATTCTAAGTTCTAGTTAGAGTGGTGGCTGCTGAAAGCTGGGAGTACTGCCCAGCATTTGTTCCAAGGAGTAATTAGCCAAGAACTGGATGGGTATGGAAGATGAAAGGGCTCAGTGCCACAGCACAAAATACCCTTTCTAGGTGACGTTACCCACAGTTGTGCCTCAATTCAAATACCCTGTTCTCCAGCCACTGCCCTCCTCTTTCCTTCCCCAAGAACTCCACTCCAAAATTTCCCGGGCCTTCCTGGGCCTGTGAGCCTGCGGCTAATGCCATCTCTTCACGTTGGCCTTGCCCCATCCTGGTGCTCCCTTACCCCTGCTTGCCTTGCTTCGTCACTTACATGGCAAAACCCCCATGTGACTGAACGCACTGTCTGGCTGCAGTTAGCCCACACTTGCAGAGTTATTAACTGTTTCAAGAGCTGCCAACAAAAAACATTTCCCTGATCCTTTCAACGACCTTACTTGCTCAGAATGGATTTCACAACTGCTTCTCCAGCTGCTAAACCCTCCTGTCCTCACTCTCATCCTAGAAAATGGAAGCAGTCAGGAGAAAGACTGCAAATTTCCACCTTTATATCCATGTGCACAACTACAGAATGCCCAAGTTGGCTCTGATTCCCTGTACAGTGACTGTGGGCATGTTAATAGCAACTCTGTTCCTGACCATCAGATGCTGGAAACAATCTGAGCATCCTTTGGTGGGTAACAGGTGACCGGTGCGAACATCACACAAGGCTTTCTTCTGCCATTGTAGGTTGTACAGCTTCAGAGACAGCGACAGAACAGCAACAGTCAGGCAGAAGGGTAGGCCACAAACTGGGCAGCAGAGGATGATTTTCAGAGGTAACAGAACACTCTTGATGGTGGTGGTTACGTGGGTCTGCTGTAAATTCACAACTCACAGCAAAAAAAATTTACACCAAAAAGAACTTATCTTGCTGAAGGCAGTATTTATAAAAGTACTGAAAAAAAAATTCTTGGAGCTCCTGGTGACTCACATAACGAACTCGTGCAAGTCCCACTGACTGCACCTCCAAATGTCAACTCTCTTACCACACCACCACCATAGCTCAGGGCCACCATCCCATCTTACTTGGAATACACTCCCAAGTCCTCCAGGGGACAGATGAGCAATTTTTCCTCCCTAAGAACTCACGAACTTCCCTTCCTCCATCCCTTTGGGGCCACCAAGTTGGCCATCCAGTCTTCCCTGAAGCTGTGGCCCCAGGCCAGGGCTGTCTGGACGCTCCCCAACCCCGCAGGAAGCTCTCTCCTCTCTGAGGCCTTCCCTGACCACCTTGGCAAGAACACAGCCCGTGCCCCCTCACTCTTTTTTTTTTTACACAATATATACTACAATGTTATAAGAATTTGTCTCACCTTCCGGAAGCAATGCCATCGAACGTAACTTTATGCAGTGACAGAAATGGGCTACATGCTGTCTGTCCATCGAGGTAACTCCTGCCACGTGACTTCAGAATATTTTAAATGCAGCCAGTGAGACCGAGGAGCTGGGTCTATTTGATTCTCATTAGTTTAAATTTAAATAGCAACATGGCTACTTGAGCAACTTAAAGGGCTAAAATGTGAGAGTTCCATGAAGATACGGATTTTGCCTATTTTATTCAGCGATGCATCCCCAGGACCTAAAACAGCACCTGCAATTGAATGCAACGGCCGATACTGGTTTGGTTCTGTTTTTCCTACCTGGGATCGAACTCAGGTCCTTGCACTTGCAAGGCAGGCAGCAGCACCACTGAGCTAAATACCGGGCCCAATACTCGTTTTTTTTAAACACCGAGTGTTTAAAAATTCAAGATTGATAATCAGGGCTTTTCAAAACGTGGAGGCGGCTGTGATGAGAGAAAGGGGTCTTTAGTGAACTGCGGAAAGCTCGTCTGCATGTCTTCTAGATAATAAAGGCTCACATTCCTAGACCTGTCTGCTCTCCTATCCACAGTCTAGACTAGTCAGAAACTTTTACACCTTTCCCCTAAGAATACTAACTACACTTTTTCATTCTCTTAAGACTTAAAACAACTCAGCATCTGCCAAGGCAATGCAGACAAGAGACCAGAGCTGAGACTTTGCCTTGCCCAGTGCTAAACTGCCAGCCACCAAGGACACGTGAAAGGAAGTCCGTCCGAGGCCTCACCCCTTCCTATACCTTTGCTCTTTTCTTGCTGTCTATAGCTCCCTTTCCTTAGATCCTGCCAATCATCAGGCACAAGGTCAGACTTATCGCTACCCAGAAGAATCTCCGGATGACGCTCGAACCTACAACATCACCACTGATCTCCGACCGGCCCCACCTTGGTCCAGCCCATCCCCTCCTCGGTATTAATGCCACGCCCCAGATTCACCATGCCACTGCCCCAGCCTGTGAGGCTCGGTCTCAAGCCCGGCCCACTCTCAGATGGCCACGCCCACTAGGAAACCCATTCCCAGGCCCCGCCCTCAGCCTTCTCTACCCCGCCCCCACTCAGGTACCCCCGGCCCCCAGGCCTCTCCTCAGACCCTGCCGCGTCCAGCTGACCCCGACCCACTTGACTCCTCTTCTTCCGAGCAGCCAGCGGCCCGCTGCCAGCCTCCAGTCCTTTCAGCCGCGCGCTCGGCCACCTCATCGTCCTAACGCCTGCTCCTCTACCGCCACCCAGACCCGACGAGGCCATGGGTCCGAAGCCCTCAGCACAGTAGCCGTCCCACCCCCAGCGCCACGCCGACGGCCCCACTTGCCTGGCGCGTTGCTGCCCGGGACGCCACCCTTGCTCAGCGCTGCGCACCCGGCAGTCCTAGATTCGCTCCACAGATTTCGCGCGCAGACTTTGGCGGGCAGAGGCGGGGCCGGCCGAAAAGCAAATGCTGGGCCTGTCCGTGCAGCGTCGCCGCGCGGAGCATGCTGGGAGTTGTAGTCCCCTGACACGGAGCTGCGGCCTAAAAAAATGGTGTAATGAGGCAAGCCCTCCCTCACAACATGCCAGGAAGCAGCCCTGAGCCTGGCCTGGCCTTGAATGAGCTGCTGTGGCCGAGGTCCCCAGGAGAGAACTGGCGGGAAAAGAGGAAGTTTTGGTGGAATCCTCCGCGCGAGGTAGGGCGGGAGGAGAGGCGGGAGGCCGCGCTGAGCATCCCGGGAACAAGGGCCCGGCCGGCCTTCGGCGGCGCGGGGCACTTTGGGAGGTGAACGCCGCTCCGGGTTGGGTAGGTGAGTCGGGGGGGTGGGGACAGGAAGGGCGAACATCTGGGGTAGCGGGTAGGCACAGCTGGGTGGGACCGAAGGGCTGAGAGGGATCGCGGGAGCGGGACTGGAGGGGTCAGGGAGGAAGGAGCCAGCTCCAAGGGGCCGTACGGGGGAGGGGAAGGCGCAGTTGGACGTGGGGGTGGATCTGAGGTGAAGAAACCCGTCTGAGGACAAGGGGCCATGTCTGGAGTGAAGCCTCACGTTGGGGAGGATGGTGGCTGGAGCAGGGAGCAAGAGGCCACAGCTTGATGGGGTGGCAAGGAGTGATCTTAGGAGAAGGTGGACCACAGGTGGATATTGATACTTCTGAGTTCATTTGGCCTCAGTGGGCCATACACCTTTAGGCAAAGGATCCCTAGCTGGAGGTGGGAAGCGCGCATGGGGATGAGACCAGAGCCACTGCCGAATGGGGTGACCCATAGGGGCCACGTCTCCTAGAAGAGCAGCAGCCGCACATCAGAGACATCTGGGTAGGAAAGAGCCACAGATGCATGTCTGGGGCTGAAGGATCTGTGCCTCCCTGCCAGGAGGACATCCAGAGGTGAAATGTGTTTGGAGGCGGGGCACGTAGCTGTGGGTTACAGCAAAGGGTAGGAAGGAGGAACTCAGAGGATTGGGGGCACTGGTTATCACCAGCAGTAGGAGACACCTCTGGAGGGGGAGGCGATCTTAGATAGAAGCTGGGAACACAGATAAGGAGTTGTGCACAGCTGAGTGTAATGAACCCGCGCTATACCTAGGGGTCATCCCAGGGTTCGAATTAGGCACCACCTGAATCGGGGAAACAGATTAGGGGTCAACAAAGATGAGGTGGAGATTTATATCTGGGTAAAAGTTTGCATCGAGCCCAACACCCTGCATAGATGGAGGCACCCACGCCTCCACGATGGAGCAGGCCGAGAATGGAGAAAATGAGACCCCATGGGGATGGGTCTGATATCCAGCTGTTCTCCCGTTCCTCTCAGGGCCCCAGGATGGAGCTGTCAGAGCCCCCACCCCGCACAGTGGTGGGGAAGGAGGAACAGGAGCTGCTGAAGCGAGTCTTCTTCTCCTGGGCTGAGTTCAGCCGCTTCTTCGACAAGTGGTGCCAGCAGCGGTTGGTGGTGTTCTCCATCAAGAACTCCACACGAGTGGCACGCAGCCCCTGGGCCGGTGTGCCCCCTCTCTACAGGCTCATCCACGTGCTCAAGTACAGCTACGTGCTGCTGGTGTGCAAGGATGTGCGCTCATCCAACCAGCCTGCAAAGTGGTGCGTGAGCCGGAGCCTCAGCCCTGCAGTGGGGAGGGGCTGGGGAGGGTGGTGAGCCCGCCTCAGAGTTGGGAGGGAGAGTCGCTGACTGAGACTGGACAAGATACCAAGGAAGGGAGTCAAAGAGGAGCACTTACTGCGAGGAGAGGAGCCGGGGAGCCAGAGGGAAAAGGCATACATAGAGTAGAGAGGACATTTGGGGCCCAGTTTACAGAGGCAGACACAGAGTAAAGAGAGTCGCAGAAAATTCGGAGGCTGAACCAAAACCACCAGAGAGATCCAGGAAAATAGAGCCCGATTTTATACACATACAAAGAGGAAAAACCGGGGGACTGAATTCTAGGAAAGCGACAAGACAAAGAAAAAGATTCCTCTACTCAGTAAATATAGGGCCAGATCCCATGTTATCAGCTGGGAATATTTTAGTGTATGAGGAGGAGAGTTGAACAAGAGCCAAAATTCTTGCCCTTCCTGGACTTTTAGACTGGACAGAGAGACTGATGTTAAGGGAAGTTCACAAGTAGATTACCCACCTGTGTAATGTTACGAGCAGGGGCAGGTGAACCATCCAAGAGTGCTGAGAATCACCAGGACCAGGGATGTTTCCACCGATCCCAACACTAAACACTAAACAATGTTGGGCTTCTCGGCTTCCTTTGAACAGGATAGGAGGCAAACCCATGTTCCCAAGTAGCAAACAGCTAACCCCGTTATATGGGGCTTTTGTGCTCAGGTCTGCCTCAGACTCTGCTGTTCTCTGCTGATTTATGTGCTGTTGCTTCCTTATCCCGCCGGCTGGTCTCTGTAGGTGTGAATTGGGCAGCCGTGGTTGAAGGGCCGTAGAAAAGAGCAGCGTGCTTGAGAACACTGGCTACCTGAGTCCAGCTCACCTGTTTACTGGATAGGTGTCTCTGAGCAGTGGGCTTCACATCTTCAGGCCTCGGTTTCTCACCTCTGAAATGGAGCTGTTGCAGTACCCACCTCAGAGGGTCATTGTGAGGATGCTCCGATCGTGTTCAAGAAGCCACTTAACCCTGGTGCCTGGAACCCAACCTTTTTGGGTTTCGAGTCCTTGAGTAGAAAAGGCGGGGAAGCGGGGAGAAGGACGCATGAAAATATCGGTCTCGTGGGTTTAGTGAGGATTAAATGAGCCTAGTACATGGTAATTTTTCCAAAGAGCATGCAGCACAAAATGTATACTCTCCATAGCTATCTTAACCCGCAGTTATTTAAACAGTTGTGGGATTAGTGTCCTCTCTCGTCTGTTCTAGAGACACAGAATTGGTGGTCTGAAAGCAGAACAGAACACACCATCACTCAACAATCTAGAACATTAAAATTTGCAAGAAGCTTGGGTCTAATTCAGAATTTCTAATAACAGGACTTAACTCAATGTAACATACTTAATGAGCACCTACTCTTGCATGTTTTTTCCTGGGCATTTGGAACTCATAACTGGTCTTGGCCCCTTAACTGCTCAGAGTCTAATGGAGAAGACAAAGAACGAAAACAAAAATGCAAGTAGTATTTTGTACCGTGTTTGACTTAACAAATGTGCTTATTATGTGCAGATACTGCCCCAAATGTCTCCACATCAAAGGGAGCCTGTAGCAGGAGGGACGGGGCAGTGGAGGAGATGAGCACAGTGCCCCAGGTTCAGGCCTGGTGACCAGCTGGTTAGTGGGAGGGTCCCTGGATTGGGAGTTCAGAAGTGTGGGTCACTGGCTTAGACCCATCATTTCAGAGCTCTTGTACCAGCCCTTCCCAGCTGCTCAAAGAAGGGCCTCTCTGGTGCCAAAAAACCAAGCACAAGCCATGGGCTGTGGTCTGCAGCTGCAAGAGTTACTGTGAGAAAAGGCAGGAGATGAAGCTGGAAGACTCTACTCTGGACCCACCAGGGCTAAGTCTGTGGACTGGGACTTTGTTCTGAGGGTGCTGGCCGGCCCCAGAAGACTGGGAGCAGGCCCACATGCACTAGCTCTGTGGGGGAGAGGCCAGGGAGAAAGCTGGAGGTCGGAGCAGAGGTACAGGCTTTGTTCTGGGCCAGAGTCCTCCCTGCACCTCCACCGCCAGCATCGCCCTCTTGTGGATCTGGGTTACTCTGTCTTTCCCAACACACCCAGCCTTTGGAAATGCAAAGATCATTAAAACCTGCAAGGTGAAGAATAAACAGGTAAGGGGAAGACCAAGAAAATCTTTTAGAAGAAAAGATGCTTTAAAAATAGCGGCTCCCGTTTCATACGTGTTTACGAGGCACTTGCCCCCTTTTCCACCACATCACATCATTTTATCCTCTTTAGTCCTCTCAACAATCCTGTGGAGTTGGTATTATTTCAGCTCTAATTTCCGAGTAAGAAAACAGGGACAGAATGGTTACAGGATTTTCCCAAAATAACAGAGCTGAAAGAGGAGAACCAGGATTTGGTCCAGCTGCAAAACCCATGCTTCTGATTTCCACGGTCCCCTACCACACATCTTTATTTCAGTTATGGTTTAGCAGTGCGGGAGTTGAATGCACCAGCACCTCAAATAGTTCTTGGTTCTGGGCGCCAACTGGTCTGTCCACTCATGCAAGAGAGTTGTTTTAAGTACCGGTGTGCGTGGCGTTATGTGTCTTAGGTGCCGGGGTTTTTGGCCAGGAGCATCTGATACAGGTGAGCGTTGGTCCCACCTGTGTGATGAAATCTACCCTCACCGATGGCTTATCTGGGAGCGCTTCCCCGAGGGGGCGATGCTAGCTCTGTGTTACAAAGGATGAGTAAGGGTTGAGTGGTGAAAAGAAGGAAGGGAGAGGGGAACGTGATGGAGGAGGGAAGGATGTACAGTGTTGGTGCCTGTGGAAGTAGGAAAAACATGGCTATTCCAGGGAGGTTTCGAAGGTCTGCTGGGCAGGACTTGCTGAAGGAAGGTTTGGTGGAAGTATCTCAAGGGAGGTACACCGGGTGTCTAGGTTCCAAAGCAGAACTCTCATTCATTTGTCACACAGTCAGCCCTCAGGATTAGAGGATTGGCTCCAGGACACCAGAACCCACATAGGCTCAGATCCCTTGCATAAAATTGCATAGTAACTTCCTCCCAGTAGTTTAAATATTCTCTAGATGACTTATAAAACGATGCATGTAAATCCTGTCTGTGTAGCTACCCTGCTTTATTGCTTAGAGAACAATGACAAGAAAAAAGTGCGTGTTCAGAACTGATGTGATTTTGTTTGTTTGTTTGTTTGTTTTCAATTATGTTCCCTCTGGTTGGGTAAATACACAGGTGGGGAGTCTATAGATGCTGAAGGCTGGCTGTGTAGGCACCTATAGGGCCCAGGTACTATTCTAGATTGTAGAGAGCCAGAAGAAATAGGCAGAACTTCCTATCCATGTGACATTTACATGACAGAGGAGTGGTGTTTCTGCTAGATAAGTGGGAAGAAGTTGCAAACCGTCGAGGCATTAGTAGGTGATTATGGGAGGTACTGGGGTCCCACAGAGGTGATTCTGTGTTCTCTGATAAAGTGAGTGGTTTCACAGAAAGGCCACCTTCCCTGAATGATGTCCTCTCTAGGGACCGAAACATTTGGGCTAAGAGCGGCCAAGTCCGAGTCTCACAAGAGCCCATGAATTGCTCTAGGAAAATGTACAGGGTGGAATCCCATGATCTTGCCATTTTGGTAGACCAGAAGTGGCCGAGTGTTGTTAGTTTCTTGTGCTTCTGCCTGATAGCACCACGTGGCTATGCATTTGTGTTTTACTGTAACAATTGATGTGTTTAGGAATTTTCTAAACTTGCATCATTTATATTACCTCAAATAAGGCAAAAAGGCTCCCAACTTTTGACTTCCATTTTTAAGATTTAGCAGGCTCCTGGGTCTGCATGTAAGAGAAAAGAGTGTGGTAGGGATCCCTTTCTGGTTTAAGAAGAAAATTCTCAAATACTTGCTGGTGGGTCTCATGGTGGCTCCTGAGGGTAATCTGAAGAGCCGCCTGAAGGAAATATGAGCTTGCACTACTGGCATTTGTTACCAGGAGCTGGGGCTTCTTAAGTATATGTCAGAGCCTGGTCTGTTCCAAGGGTCCGCAAACTGGAAAGCCCTCTGGCCAAGTCCAACCTGCAGTTTCATTGCAATAGACATGCCTGTTCATTTATATATTATCTAGGATTTGTTTGCAGTGTATCTATGGTTTATTTGCAGTACAGCATCAAACTAAATAAGGGGCGATACAAAAATGCAGGAGTTTAACTTTTTAAAATGCGTTGTAATAAAAGACACCTTACCATTCACCTTCCTCGGAATACTCCCCGTGCTCCAAACACATTTATCCCATCACTCTTGGTACCTTCCGGAGCCGTTCCGGAAGTGCTATTTCGTCAGTGTCTGTACCGAGTGAGATTAAAGGTAGAGTGAGTGAATGCGGCTACCTAGCGCCATCCAGTGGGCAGTCGGGCTTCTAAGAGTATGAGGATGTGTTCTCGCTCATCTCATTCACCGGGACCGGTACTGCCGTGTGACTTCTGGTTCTTCTCCGGAGTCAAACCGGCCGTGAAAGATAAACATCCTGAATTGGCTCAGGACACAGAGGTAGCCACCACAGCCGTTTAACACAACTAAAGACACCCTTGACAAAGGACTTCTAAAACTGCTTCAGAAAGTGCCAAGAGGGACGGGCTAACTGTGTTTGAAGCAAGGGGAAATAATGGTGATGTGTCTTTTATTGTAATAAAATTTTAAAAAAATATTTAGACATGCATTGTATCGTTTATGGAATTATTATATTTGCTCTCTTGCCATTGGCAGAAAGTGTGCCAGTCCCTGTAATATAAACCTAGAACTTCGTATCTGAAAATGCTGAAGTCATACCTGGTCGTGGAAAAACGCCGCACCTCCTCTCCAAAAGTAGAAGCTCAGGGAAATACACATTGATTTTTCTTTGTTTTGTGCCGGGAATCAAACTCAGATACTGTTCCCCCCTCCGTTCTGTTTCACTTGTTGCAGTGCCAGTTGTAACTGTCCACATTGACTTGGTGTGGTGGGCTGCATTTGGAGAACGCCTGTCCTAGACAAGCTCTCGGTCACACGCAGAGATGTCCGAGAGAGGGCCCACTGATGTGTGACCTGAGGAGGGTGACGAGAGACCCGGGACAGTCCGGGGCGTCTTAGACCGGGACTGAAGTCAGCAGAAGGAGTGGTGCTGGGGAGTGGATGGTCTGCAGCGTGAGGAAGCTTGTTGGAGACAGGTGTACAGATTGTGATCAGCGTCCTCATCTATCGCTATCGTCAGACAAACAAACCATAAACGACTACCATGAATGTAGTGGCCTAAAACAAGAAATTATCATCTTACAATTCTGCCCAGCCATCATAAGGCCAACGTGGGTGTCAGTCAGGGTGTCTAGAATCAAGGTATCCCCGGGGCTGTGCCTTCTAGAATCTCTGGGAGAACCTGCTTTGCCTTCTAGCATCTGGAGCCCGTCTGCATTCTAGCTTGAGACCCTTTCATTTTCAAAGCCAGCCAAGTAGCATCTTCCCGTCTCTTACTATGTTCCAGATACTATTTTAATTCCTTTCCTTGCATCACTTTTTTTTAACCTCACAACCATCCTATGAGGAAAGTCTCTTTCCTATTAATATGTGGGGAAACAGGCATCTGGTCGAAGTCACCTGTCCAATGTCATCTAGCTGGCGTATTCTTTGGGTTTCTCTGTGCTTGAGACATACTGAGGGTGTGAGAGAGACAGACAGACGGAGGGACGTGACCGTGGTTCCTCCCACAGGTCCTCCCAGCCCAGCTGCCCGGCCTTCATCACCCTCAAGCTGAGCCCGCTGCGGGACCGCCTCGTGGTGTCGGAGTGCCAGCTCACCCACTCACACCCGGCCTGCCCACGCGAGTTCGCCTACCACTTCCGCCCGGGCCACCTGCTGGCCAACGCCTGCCTGCCCGTACGCATAACCAACCGGATCTCCAAGCAGTTCGTGGCCCCGGACGACGTGCGCCGCTTGCTGTCCCGCTGTAAGGGCCCTGACCACGGCGTCCTGGACGCCCTGCACGTGCTGGAGGGGCTCTTCCGCACCGACCCCGAGGCCAAGGTAAGGTCTCGGGAGGTAGGATGGGGACTAGCAGGCCATTGGTCCGCTGCTCCGGGGGACCTCCTGAGTCATCCATTCGTCCCTTTACCCCTCCCCCGCTCATTGCTCCCTCATTCCTTTCTACACTATCTGCTGAGGCCTTGGGGTGCAGTGAACAAGACACGTGACCCCTGATGCTGGCTGTTGGTGGCACTTACTGCTCTGATGGAAATTGTCCGTGGCTCTGCGCTGCCCCGTGTGGGAGCCCCAGCCACACGTGCCTGTGGAGCGCTTGAAGTGCGGCCAGTACCATCGGGATCTGGATTTACGTTATTTTAGTTAACTGAATTTTAAATAGCCATGCCCAGCTATTGGCTGCCTTGCAGAGCTCACTGCTGGAACCGCCTTGCTGTTCTCACGGGACAGTGTCCGATGGTGGACAGACGCGTCCAGAAGCGACAGGATTGTGGAAGGGTTGGGTGTCAGGCAGGAGCCGAGGTGATAGAGGTAACGGTCTGATTTTTGTTTTTTCAAATTGAAATGCACAAATAGAAAATGCACAAGTGATAAGTAAATAGTTGACAAATGTTCACAAGGTGAAAACAGCCCTGAACTTACCACCCAAATCAAGAATTAGAGGAGAGCGTGTTACATTATAGCAAGTGATGGAGGGAAGAGAGTTACAGAGCAGAATAGGGTGAGGGTAGGGCAGTTGTTAGGGGTGCTCATTTTTTTCCTTTTTTTTTTTCAGTGGTGGGGGGATCAAAGCCAAGGCCTCGTGCACGTTCTGCGCGTGAGCACCCCCCGCCCAGGAAGGCCTCCTTGAGAAAATGCTAGTGAAGCAGAGGAGATAAGGAGAGAGAAGACACCCATCCCCTCGTCAGAGGGAAAAGCTTTGCAGGCAGAGGGAACAGCTGGACGCTGGTGCCAGCTTGGTGTGTTGAAGATTCTCTAGTACTTTGATCCAACTTTAAGTCTAGGTTAGACTTGAGGATTTAAAAAAAAAAGAAAGACAAGAAATAGGGGAAACTTGAGTTATCTACCTGGCTCTGTGTGTCTTTCGTGCGTGGAAGTAGTCCCAGCTCAAGGTGAAGTTGAGACGGGAACCAACGTTTGGGATCTGGCTGCTCTGTGTGTCTCATACCCAGTAGGCGGCCCCGATCCAAGCCACCGGCCAAAGTGCAGCCCTTTGTGCATTCGTAATGTTGACAGCTTTATCGAACTTGATTGAGCACTTACTGTGCGCCAGGCATTGCTCCTAAGTGCTTTACACATTGCAGTTCATTTACACCTCGTCAGAGCCCTAGGAAGGAGCATTTCATTCTCACCCCCGTGTTACAAAAAGGAAAATGAAGCACGGAGAGGTGAAGTAACTGGCCCGAGGTGCCGCTACTCAGTGGCAGAGCGAGGCTCTGCACCCCCGGTCTGGATCCAGCCCCATAGTCTTCGCTGCTGTTCTGTGCCATTCCAGCCTTTGGAAGGGTGTGGCCCCCACCCAGTCCTTTCGCTGCTCTATAAAATCAGGATCAACACATGTCCTGTTTACTGCGTTAGTTGTTACTGAGTTACTCTTATTCACTGAATAAATAAACCACAGTTGTTCTTTCCCAGAAGCACCACTGTGAGGCTGCTCCCGTTGTAGTGGGAGAAGATGGAGCAGAGCAGCTCATTCCTAAGTTAAAGGCATCAAGGAAAGGAATTAGCCCTTTAACCTCCAGGGTAGATGCTCCCTGCTGGAACCACCATGGTTGCTTCTTGGCTCTGCATTTTGGCCACCTTGTTACTCTTAAAAAAAATGAAGAGGAAGTTCTAAAAAACCAGGAGACAGGCCAGTGAGAGATTCTTCTTTCCTGTCTTTTTTTTTTTTTAAAGACGGGGTCTCACTGTGTTGTTCAGGCTGGCCTTGAACTCACTACATTTCCCAGGCTGGTCCCAAACTTGCAGTGATCCTCCTGCCTCAGCCTCCCAAGTGCTGGGATTACAGGTGTGTGCCATCACACTTCCTTTATAAAAACATTAGGTATTTAATTTCTGAATACTTAACATAATCACATGTGGTTTAAAAAAAAAAGTCCCTTTGCGGGCTCCTGTGCCCTAGCGCTCTTCCTCAGAGGGTACACAAGTCATCAGTTGCTTGTGCATCTTAAATACTTTCTGTTCTACGGCCCCACACTGCCTAGTGGAGCTTTTTGCACTGTTAAGAATGTCGCTTGTGCTGTCCAGTAGCGTAGCCATGGGCCTCTCCGATCACTTGAAATGTAGCTCGTCTGAGTTGAGGAACTAGTTCTTAAACTTGCAGTTACTATCATGGCCCCATGGGGCCAGTGGTATCTGCCTTGGGCAGCACGGTGCTGTGTCCGTACAGGTAAGTTTGCATTTCTCTATTTTTAACCTTACTTCCTCTACCTCACACCACCCCTGCTCAGCAGGCTAGTGTATTCTACACGCTGTTTTGCATCTTGCTTTAATATGTCCAGGGGCTCCCAATGTCGGCATCTTTCAGTCTTCCTCTGGGACCGGTCAGATCCCCTGAGAAAACTCCTCCTCCTCCTGGTTGGAGGATGCAAGTGGCGGAAGGAGGGCTGGGGAGCTGGTATTAGTCACTCAGTCCCAGTTTGGGGTTGGGATCCTTTCTCCCCCAGTCTTAGATGTCCCCAGGGCCGGTACCACACTCTGCAGAACGAACCTCCAGTCACGGGAGGGGAAGTGAGGAAGGGAGCCGTGGGATCTCGTGGCCACGCTGCTGCTCACTGCCTGTATCACAGGGCGTGGCAAGGACTCTGCGGTTGGTCTCACTTCTCCCAGTTGCTACCTCAGTGTCCATGAGTTCTTGTGGCATGGGGCAAGATAAGGGGCAGCGTATTCACCTGCTTTCCAAAGTTGAGTACCTGTCGCCTCTCCCATTTCCCGTCGCTTTAGAGAGCACAACAAAGCCATTTTCTCCAGATGTGCTTGAGTTGAGACTCAGGAGAAAGTGAAATTAAAGAGGTGCATTCAGTATGTTGCCTTTGCTCAGTTTCCCATTGGCTATTTCACCTATAAAATCTGTTGAAGAGTCCTGTATTCTTAATAGAGTACTAATATGAGACCAGTCTAAGCAACAAGCAACAAGATAGTGTTGCTCTAAGTGTTGCTCAAGATAGTGTTGCTCTTATCTCTAAGCAACAAGATAGTGTGCTCCTGTCTTCCCAGCAGAATTCAAAAGGAGGGTGTATCGGCTTCACACTACTATAACAAAATACCTGAAGCCATTAACTTATAAAGGAAATTCAGGCCCCAGTTCCAGAAGTTCCAGCCCGGAATCAAGTAGCTCCATTGCTCTGGGCCTCTGGAAAGGGCGGCACATCCTGGCAGGGGCACATGGAGACTCACACTCCTCACCTCATGAGGCAGGAAGCAGAGAAAGAGACTTTAGGGACAGGCAGTTCCCACAGGCCCTCAAGGTCATAGCCCAGTAACCCAAGCACCCTCCACTAGGCACCTCCTTAGAGCTTTCCCACTCCTCCTGTTAGTGCCACCTAGGACCCAGCCCTCCAGGGGACACTGCCGACATTCAAGTCATCGCAGGATTGCTCTGGGAAGCCGAGTACTGGCACTGCTTGAGCTAGAACAACTTTCTTGGTCTCGGAAAGGGTCAGACAAGGAGAGAACATCCAGGAGTCCCGAAGCACAGCTTCTAGGAAAGATCAGGTGGCTGCTTCGCTCAGGGAGGTGCTAAGACCTTTTGTAACCTGTTCTGAAGCAGGGTGGCGGGCTTGCAGTGACCAGCCTGCAAGTGGGCTCTGGGCAGAGAGAGGCCTTGTGTGGCAAAGCACCCTTCTCTCTGGTAGGCTTTGCCTTCTGAGAAAAGCAGTTGTTGACCCAAGTGTACTTCCTTGAAGGGTACTGAGTGGTAAACCAGTGCCATCGCGTCAGAGGGTAACTTAGCGGTATACATCTAAACGACCGAAGCATTCGCCGTTCTGCTGGCGATTTCTCCTGCAAATAGCAGGCACACCGCTGTGGAATGACACCGGAAGATTAAAACCCGCCAAGACTCACGAATGGGTAATGGATCTACAATCCGTGGCACATCCATTCATGAAACACTGTGAAGTGCCGAAAATGAGAACAAGTCTAGGAACATCCGGAAAGATCTCTCAGAAGCATTTTCTTAAGTTAAAGCAAGTTGCAAAACAGTGTAAATTCTATGCTGTGTTGGGCATAACGTGGCGAATATGAGAATCACAGGTGTGTTTGCATCTTCAGAGCGGGTAGTCTCTGAGCAGAGATGACCGTTACCGCAGTAGTGAAGTCTCGGACGGCCCTTCTGGCTTGGCAGAGAGGTGTTCTGTGCGGATGGCGCGGTGCATTTCCTCCTCCCGCTCACAGCGGGACTCGTACTATAATCGCTTTCCACCCAGTCACAGCGGGACTCGTACTATAATCGCTTTCCACGTGACAGTTGACGGTAACTCAGGCTGGGCAATCTGGCCTCAGAAGCTTTGTTTCCAGCAGCTGCCCTGTCTCCCAGTGCTAGAAGAAATGAATATTCAGTCTCTTCGAGGAGAAATTGGAGAGCATAGGGTTGATGGAGGAAATGGAGGCACTGAGCAGTCAAAGCAGGCAGGCAGGAGGGATGCGACTCACATCTGGACTCCGGTCTCCACAGCCTGCTCTTTACCACTAGACCAGTGGTCCCTTCGGCCATGGGAACCCTGCGCGGGGCACGGGGAGGGAGGTCTTGTCAAAACAGACTGCTAGGGCTGGGTGGGGATTTAGCTCGGTGGTTCCAGCGCCTGCCTCGCAAGCACAAGGACCCGAGTTTGATCCCCAGTACCAAAAAAAATTTTTTTTAATTTAAAACATAGACTGCTAGATCCCGCTCCTGAGTTTCAAACTCGGCAGATCTGGGGTGGATTAAGGATGCTTTGTCTGTCATGGTCCCCGGGACTGATGCAGATGCAGCTGCTTGAGGGCCCACGCTCTGGGAACCAGTGCCCTACACGCCCTCAGCTCAAGAAGGAATAAATACTCGCTTCCCATCGGGAAAAATAGGCTCCGAGAAGCTAACAGTGTTTTGTGTGTAAATGTCACCTTGCTGTCAGGTCCTGGTGCCTCACCTCAAACCCAGGCAACCCCGCCGCACCGCCACCTGCTGGACAAAAGGGTAAATGCGGATGTACACGAGGGACTGCATTCGGGTTCCCCGGAGCTAGGAGCCCAGCTGGGCAAGGTCTTGGGCATCCCCTAAACTCTCTTTCCCTTCCTACCCGCGCCTGCAGGTGAGGTTGGTGTTCGTGGAGGACCAGGCGATGGTAGAGACTGTGTTCTTCCTGACGTCTCGGACCAGGGCGCTGCTGCGGCGCTTCCCACGCATCCTCCTGGTGGACCGGCTGCCGGGGCTACAGGGCACACTGGACCTGCTGGCCGTGCTGTGCGTGGACGGCGCGGGCCGT